TACGTAATTTGCCGAGACTGTTGCCAAAGTGGCATTTGAATTTATGCCGCCACTTGAGGCAAGTGTGGCAAGCTGAGGGTGAGTGCTCCTGCATTCGTATGAGTTTCTCTACACTTATGTATGTCTTCTTGCTGCAAAGCAAAGAGTGCGCTTTATTTTAAATTAAATATGCAAATATTCCACACTCCCACGTCCCTTGCTCCTGGCATTTTATTCTTGTTGGGTTGGTTGTCTGCTGCAGACAGGCAACATAAATTATTGTAAGCAGATGAAATATTTGTGGATGAATTTGTTGCAGCTGTCGAGTGCAGCCAGCGGACATTGCTCACTCGCCCTGTTTCTCCATTGCTGGTGGAATATTTCACCAGAGAAACTTTAATCTGCACTCTAAAAATATTTTTTAAAAATAAATTTATTAAAAATAGGAAACTGTTTAATTATTTTTAATATACCTTCCCTTTTCGAATCAAAATTTTTAAATGAAAATATGTTAAAGCGAACCTTTACCTATCTAGTAGTATGTTTTGTATCAATGGGAGCTTTAGGAGCTTTACTTTAAATAAAAAATAATATAAATAGTCCTGAAAAAATTAACTTTCTACAAAATTATAAAATACCTTTAATAAAAAAATTGTTTGCATAATTTTCGCTATTTTTTGTTTTGATAATATGTTTCTAACTTGCTTATTTTTCAAAGATAAGAATATATATTTCTACACAATGCTGTTTAAAGTGCATCCAAAGGGGGTGAATAAAAGCGGGTGAGTGAGGGGACACGGGAATACACACAGGATGTCCTCGGTGGAAGATGAAGCTGGCAATTTTATCATTTTTCACTTTGGTAAACAAACACAAAAGGAGCAAAGGGGGTTAAGGAAAATATTGCGGCTTTTGTTGTGGCAACCTTAATCGCCCCCTCTCTCTCAGTTCATTTTCCCTGCACCCCGCGCCCATCTGCGATCGAATGTCATTCAAATTGTAATTTCTGCAGCCTCCATCATCAGAGAACAATCGATAAAAAAGGATAAAGCAAAGAGCACAACAATGCAGGGATAACAATGGGGCAAAAGCACAAAAAGAGAGGAATTCTGGAGAAAAGCGGATGAAAAGCGAGGGCACACAGTCAAAAGCAAACAATAAACAGCGAAATCATTCCATGCATACCCGTGGAAAAAGCTGGCATTGTGCAATAACAGCACGTTTCGAAATTGTAAAATCCATTCCAAGAAAAAAAAACAGACATTTTCTGTTAAAAAATGTTTATTTATCCTTTAAATCTACATGATTTATTTATTACCTTTTGACCTATCTCCACAATATCTCTTTCTTTGTTTATATAATTTAAAAAATACATACGTTATTGTTTTTAAAACAACTGAGGATGAAAATCATTTAAGAATATTTTACTATTCAATTGAAATATATTTTTCAAACACTTCGATTGTTGTTTCAAGTACGTATTAGGTATTCAAAAACACTTTCATTAAAAGCTTACAAATATCCGGTATTTATTTAGCACTGTACCGTAAAAGTAGGACATTAAATTTTTAGCCCTTAAGCAGCCGTTGGCTAATAGGCCAAGTTGGCTCGTTCTGCAAACATTTGCCCAGCACTTTGGCACGGCTTTGCCTTTGCCATCCCGCCATCCTTGTGCTAATGAGCGAACAAAGGGACTAAGGGGACGTGAAATCCCCATTATTACAGGCAGAATTCGAAATTCAGTAGGTCTTTTTTGAGTTGTTTGTCAAAATTAACAGAGGGAAAAGGAATATTCCCCGTAAACATATGGGTCAGATGCAATGTCGACCCGAAGATGCCGCGCTCAGACCGGATTTAATCCTGATCCGTAGTTATGTCACCTATAAAGGGTTTCCTCCCGATTATGTAAGCAACTACGATATCTCGATAATCGTTGGCCACATTAAAGTGGGAGGAGTAATGAGGTCAACGAGTGGCAAGAGTTTTCCTACAGTCGAAGTAAGATTGTGTTTCAGTGAAGCGATGGGTAAGGATTGAGCTTAATAAAAAAAGTATTCATAATTTGTAATGTGTTCCGTTCAGATTGAATTGTATTTGTATCGACTTTCTCTAAATCAGAAATTTAAATATTATTATGCTATATGCTATATGTGTACATGCTATAGATAAATATTAGCAGGCAAATAAACATGAAAACATCAAGCATACGCCTTGTGGTTCGTATGTCATAAGTAATCGATGCTGTAAAGAAGAAATAAATAAAATGGTCGACTGAATATTCTATTTGAAGCTTAACTTCAAGCTCACTAAATTGAATTTCTCGCATTTATAGAATCATATCCTTCTCTAGGCTCTTTTAATTACTTTTATTTTAAAGTTATTAAGTAACTTTTGATAAGGGAATTATCTTCGTCTGTACTTTGTCCCTTTTGAGTGCTCCGGGCCTCAGTCACTTAGGGCATTTATTTACCTGCCTTCCCCCATCATTTCAGCTTCAACTGTCAAAAGTCGGCCTCATCAGTCATAGCTGCTCTTGGCCCCCTCGAAGCTTTCACTTGACATTTATCATCATCATCATGCCCATTGCCATGCCCATCATCTATATCACCATCATCATCATCGTCATCATCATCCTTGCACGTCGCTCTTTAACCTTCAGAAGGCATTTTCATTTAGCGGCCCCTCTTCTGCTTTGTTTGTCAGCTCGCCACTTTTGTGACTTTTCCAGCTTTTCCCTTTATTCACCCGCTCTCTTGTTGGTCCTTAATTAAAAACGATTAGTAATTCCTGTTCAGCCATCGGGCCCAAAGGTCGTTTGGTGCAGCGCCATTAAATATGCAATGGAAATACTTTAATTATACAAATAACCAGGAATTAAGGGGTAGTTGAGAATGCTAAGAAGAGGGACAAGCGGAGCCCCTTAGAAAGTTACTTTTCATTGTTGGCACTTTGGACTTTTCAGGCCATTTTTCTGCCATCGAAAATATACGTAATTCCTATCGCCTTGGCCAAATCAAACGGAAGTTGTTCGTTTCGCGCGAAATATGAACAAGTTTGGAATTCGGGGGGCTTGGAAATACGAAAGAAATTGGTAACGAAATGAATTCGTTTTCGAATGTCAGGCACGCAAACTTGGCCCACCAACGACCTCCTCCACGAAAATTCTATTATTTGTATTTTTTTTCCTAGGACCTGTTAGGCGACTTTGCCACCCCTCCAAAAACCACAATTGGTCTGGGTTTCGTTTGCACGTTACTCGTTTTGCGGTTTAGTTTTTTTTGTGTATTCCTGCGGTCCCTGGACGAAACTAAGTTGGGTTTTCGCCTCTGGCTTAGCTGGATTTTGTGGTCCGTAGTGGGAGCCGGGCTTAAGTGATCTGGCATCGCATTTCACTGGGGTTAACTAGCCGGGATGTCTGACTTTTCCAGGGGTTAATTTGGGGTTACCATCGGCTGAGGTTCTTGCTTAAATTTCAACAGTGGCTTGTATATCTTTAAATTTTCAGTTTTTATTGATACATTTCTTTACTATACCTTTTTTTGGGAATTACGACAATAAATACTCTTATTTATGTGTGCTTGTTTCCTCTCGCAAAACCATTAACTTCTGATTTGGTTGTAATAAATAATAAAATGCCTTTCCTGTCTTCCGTTTGGATACATCCTTTAAAATTGATATAAGCTATGGTAAACAATTTTTTATAAACGTGTAATCAGCGGATTAGAATGAAAAATTATTATTAATTTATTTTGCACTGCTAAAAAAACTAATAATAATAATAATAATAATTTATTTGTTTGTTATTAAAGAGTAAATGTGCAAAGTAATTTCAATAATCAACAATTTATTTCAACAAATAAAATTTAGCACACTCCAAATAATTAAAGATAAGCCATTGAATACTGACTTAAACTCTTAAAACTCTTAAGATAGGAAATCATATTTTTCTATAAAGGAAGATTGTTTTTCTTGACTTCATTAGTCCCAGAAATGACTTGGCATTTTTTCATGAATATTTTAACTGCAATTTTTTATGGCTGAGACAGTTGCACTTATTTTTGTTCTTGGAAGTTACTTAGCATATTAAATTCAACCGCTGCGTTTCTTATTCTTCCCTTATTCCTGCCCGCTTTGTCTTTGTCACCCACTTAACTTTTTACATGGTGAAAAGTCAAAGCTTACAGCACCAACTGAAACACAATGAAAGTTTTTCACTTTATTGGGAGTGAGGGGAAAGGGAGGATCTCAGAAACTATATTCAAGGAATCCAAACGAGGGGTTTTTGTTGGGGGGAACCCCCTATTTTCGATTTCAGCGAACGATAAGCGACAAACAACGCATTAAATGTCGTTTTCTCTGGCTATTTTCGGTTTGGCATTGGGTTAAGTCATAAAAAATTGAAATGTAATTGATTGGAAGTTTGTCGAAGGCAAATGGGGAGGGCATCACGGCATTGACGTAGTCGCCTGGCCAAATTAGTTGGCCTGTAATTTTAGACACCATCGGAAGGCGTTGAGTCCTGAGCTCTTCTGACGGATGGAAAGCCACCACGTTGATGATGACATCGCCAAACAGATGACATGACGGCAAAGTTTCAAAAACTTTAACCATTAAACTCAATTACCAGGAAAGTTGAACCTATTTAACCGACGCCGCTGTGTTTTTCCCTCGCTGTTTTACTGTGTTGTTATTGACTTTAAGTTAATAAATTTAAATCAGATTGGGAGAGTTAACGTTAATATAAAATATGTAGTTTCTAAGTACTTGTTTATTTTCAAAATGTGTTAGTGACTTTTAGTGGTTTTAAATGCATTCAAATTACATCGCTGATAGAATCAATGCCTAAGTGGTTTGTACCCAAAAACAGTGTAAAACCTTTTTAGGATTAGTTTATTTTGAAACAAACTCTTTTAATATATTAGCTATTAATATTAAACTTAGTTAATGATGTAATCCAAACTTTTTTAAGCTTGACCCAGTGAAATCAGTATTTAATCCAACAAATTTTACATCCATTTCAGGCATCTCCTCCTTGTCGAGTTGTGGCGATCCGGAGCGTCTTCCGGAACTGCCGCCCCTGGACGAACAGCGTCTTCAGCGTGCCGCTTTGCACCTGCAGCAAAAGCTGATCCTGCGCGAGTGGCTGCGGGATCACAGGCTGCAGCACCACTATCAGCGACTGCTGGCCGTGGAGGTCGCCTCGCTGGAGGACGTCTACTGGCTGGAGGACTCGCGGGCCAGCAAGATCCTCGGCAAGGACTGGCAGCTGTGGTCGGGAGCCCGACAGAATCTGCCCACGTCCAAGGCGCAACTGGACGCCCTGAAGGCGCAGCTCTGGTCGACGGTGGTCAAGAGCAGCCAGCACCAGGACGCTTGGACATGGGGTGGAATGCTGGTCGTCTCCGTCTCAGTCGCCGGCCTCGTCACCCTGGCTGCCATGACGCAGCCCTCGCTGGCCCCAGAGGTAAGAAACCGAAGATTTGGCAAAATAAGTTGTTAACTTGATGTTATAAATACATAAAATGAGAAATTAGACTCGGCACGCCGACAGCTTAGAAACCCTTGCAGTTATATCAAAAACTGAATCATAACAATGCAATTACTGTCCAAAAACTGCACTTCTAAGCCCATAACAAAGTGGTTTGATCTTGGTTTAATTCTCTAAAAAACTGTATACTCAGTTTGGTTTGTAATTTTTGGTCGATTTTTGGTCATTTTCATAATGCTAACCCCTTTCCAAATTTCCGAAAAATGGCTTTCCAGAAAAGTGTAAAAAAACTGCACTTCTCAGCCCATAACTTTTGTTACAGACATCCGATTTTAAAGTGGCATACTTCTAAATGATTGTGGTTAAATTCTCTAAAAAACTGTATACTCAGTTTGGTTTGTAATTTTGGGTCGATATTTCGTCATTTTTTAATGCTAACCCCTTTCCAAATTTTCGAAAAATGGCTTTGAAGAATATTGTCCAAAAACTGCACTTCTAAGCCCATAACTTTTCTTGCAGACATCCTATTGCTAAGTGGCATACTTCTAAATGATCTTGGTTTAATTCTCTAAAAAACTGTATACTCAGTTTGGTTTGCAATTTTGGGTCGATTTTTGGTCATTTTCATAATGCTAACCCCTTTCCAAATTTCCGAAAAATGGCTTTGAAGAATATTGTCCAAAAACTGCACTTCTAAGCCCATAACTTTTCTTGCAGACATCCGATTGCTAAGTGGCATCCTTCTAAATGATCTTGGTTTAATTCTCTAAAAAACTGTATACTCAGTTTGGTTTGCAATTTTGGGTCGATTTTTGGTCATTTTCATAATGCTAACCCCTTTCCAAATTTCCGAAAAATGGCTATGCAGAATAGTGTCCATAAACTTCACTTCTAGGCCCATTACTTTTCTTGCAGATATCCGATTTCAAAATGGCATATTTTAAAAGGATTGTGGTTTAATCCTCTGTGTTCTCAACTTGGTTTATATTTTTAGGTCGATTTTTCATCATTTTTATAGTGTTACCCCTTTCCAAATTTTCGAAAAATGGCTTTGTAGAAAAGTGACCTATAACCTGCACTTCTCAGCCCATAACTTTTCTTAGAGACATCCGATTTCAAAGTACCATATCTCCAAATAGTTGTGGTTTAATCCTCTAAAAAACTGTGCTCTCAACTTGGTTTGTATTTTGTGGTCGATTTTTCGTCATTTTTATTATTACCCCTTTCCAAATTTTTAAAAAAAAAGCCTTGCTGAAAAGTGTCCAAAAACTGCACTTCTTAACCCATAACTTCTAAATGATCGTGGCTTAATTCTCTAAAAAAACTGTATTTCAGTTTGATTTGAATCTTTGGGTATATTTATTTTTATTTTTTTCCACCTCCATGCAGATAATGCATGATAATACCCCGTAAATTGGTAGTCTTTATCCTATAGCTGCCACTAATATAATATGTGTTTATATTTATAAACATGAATAAACAAAGCTTAATTCGAACATACTTTGCCACATCCCGTCTAGGCCCGTCATTCTCTTCTTCAATACGTCACCGGGAAGTATCTGCTGCCCGCCAACTGCAAGGTGCAGTGGGATTGGAAGGACCCCGCCAGCGTGGGCGGCACCATGTGCTTCGTGGTGCGATTCTTCCAGCGCAACGGACAGCCCTATCCCATCTGTGATACGGACCAGTTCTTCGTCGAGGTCACCGAGGGCACCCGCAAGGTGGTCACCATCAGCGAACTGGGCTCCTCCACCGATCCCAACAACGCCAACATCGCCAAGGTCAAGTTCACGGTGCGAACGGCGGGTCAATACAAGATATCCGTGCTGATCGGCGCCAGTCACATCGCCGGCTCGCCCTTCCTGCGATCCTTTCTCCCAGGAGCCATCGACGCCAGGCGATCGAGGTTCATCCGGCCAGCCAGCACGGTCATCTGCTGCGCAGGAGCACCCACGCTGATGCACATCGAGCCACGCGATGAGTTCGGGAACTCGTGCCTATTCGACCAGGACCAATCGGATGAGGCGTTGCAGGTGCGTTTCCTATTTTGTTCGATCATATTAAAGAGTAATTTTGGTTAGTAGATTATGTTATAAGGGTTTTTGAGGATTTAAAATAGTTTCTTGGTATATATTTCCACATTCCTTACTATACTTTTAGGGCTATCAAGTGGCCATATACGACTTGCATGGAATTCCGGTGGAGAAGCTGCAACACGCGATTGTGTTTGCCTACGACAGGGTCAACTCCCGGGTCTCGGTGACTGCTCTTTTTCCAGAGCCGACTTGCCTGAGGGCCGTGATCAGTTACCGGGATCAACAGCTGCCCAATGGTGACTTTGACATCATTGTGCTGAGCAGTAAGTGGTGTTACAAATCCAGAAAAAAAGTATTTATTAAGTTGGTAAACTCTTGCAGGCAGCGACACCACCTTGGTGCACAAGAACATTGCCTCCAGGAAGCACAATATCTGCTATGAGGCCAAATTGCTGAGCATTTTCGGAGTGTCCAAAAACAAGCCGAGAAAGGTGCTCTGCTATGTGGGACCTAAACAGGTGAGTGGTCAGAGCTGGAACCCGGTGATATCGAGTGAAATGTGAGGGCTCAGAACTCGCTGATCTTCCAGGTGACCATCAAGGAGATGATCCTCAAGTTTATCCCCAAAAGGATCGCCACCTTCCGGCTGTGTCCGTCGACCAAATTCCATTTCCTGCCACAGTTGGTCTCCCAGCTGCACGGCCCTGTTTTCATCATCGACGACGGAGCACAGCCCAAGATCGAGTTGGCCTCCAAGGATCGGAATATCATAGCTGCCACTTTTACACATTTCCTGCTGAAGAACATTGGCGGATCGGAGACTTTTAAGGATAAGCAAGACTTCTTTTACCACGAGGTTCGCAAATTCCATGCCAGCTATTATCACGAGAAGATGGCTCTGAAGGTTCAGCGGGAGAAGATCCTGGAGAGCAGCATGAAGGCCGCCAAGGGATTCTCGGTGTCCGACTGGTGTGGCAATTTCGAAGTCACCTTCCAGGGCGAACAGGGCATCGACTGGGGAGGACTGAGGCGGGAATGGTTCGAGCTGGTCTGCAGTTCCCTCTTCGACGCCCGTGGCGGACTCTTCTGCACCTTCCACGACAAGCACCAGGCTCTGGTCCATCCGAATCCCACGCGTCCTGCCCATCTGAAGCTGAAGCACTTTGAGTTTGCCGGAAAGATGGTGGGAAAATGCCTGTTCGAGAGCGCTCTGGGCGGAAGCTATCGCCAGCTGGTCAGGGCTAGATTCAGTCGCTCATTTCTGGCCCAGCTTATTGGGCTAAGAGTGCACTATAAGGTAAATATTAGTGATTAATAATTTTTTAGGAAAGAATGATATCAAACCCTTAATAACTTTCCTTTAACATATTTAATTGAATATCCCCTTCTTTAATTCCCAGTACTTTGAGCAAGATGACCCCGACTTGTACCTGTCCAAGATCAAGTACATTCTGGACACCGATCTGGATGCCACGGACACCTTGGAGCTGTACTTCGTGGAGGAGATGTACGACGCCAGTAGCGGGCAGCTAAGCAAGACAATCGAACTCATTCCCAACGGGGCCAAGACGCGAGTGACCAATGCCACCAAAAACCAGTACCTGGACTCCCTAGCCCAGCAACGTTTGTGTAACAGTGTCAAGGAGGAGGTCGATAGTTTCCTGAAAGGTCTTAACTCCATTATACCGGATAATCTCCTCAGCATTTTCGATGAGAACGAACTGGAGGTGAGTTTTATGCAGACACTTAGATAACTTGCTAAAACGCAAGCAAGTAAAACCATCTGTAGCTTTATTAAGTAATTTAATTATATCCCATTAACTAAATATTTTTTCTGCTGCAGCTGCTGATGTGCGGCACCGGGGAATATTCCATCAGCGACTTTAAGTCGCACCACATCGCCAACGGCAATTCGGCGGAGTTCCGGCGGGTTTTGGCCTGGTTTTGGGCCGGAGTAAGCAACTTCAGCCAGACGGAGATGGCCCGGCTGCTGCAGTTCACCACGGGATGCTCGCAGCTGCCGCCTGGGGGATTCCAGGAACTGAATCCGCAGTTCCAGATAACGGCCGCCCCGACCTTTGGCAACCTGCCCACGGCGCACACCTGGTGGGTGAAGTTTTTCCATCGAAACATATACATTTTAATTTTTCCATGCACTAAAAACGAAACTTTTTCGATTACAGCTTCAACCAGCTGTGCTTGCCGGACTACGAGAGCTACGAGCAGTTCGAAAAGTCGCTGCTTTTGGCCATCAGCGAGGGCAGCGAGGGATTCGGCATGGTCTAGATACTATATATAGGATAATGGAGAGGGGAAGTCATCCCCCCGATTTTTGTCTGCTACGCTACTGTGTTCCTTTCTGTGCGCTTTAAATGTCATGCTACCAACTAAGTGACCTAGTCCGTAAGCCTGCCTAGTGATAAATTGCAATTAAATGCAGTCCCCGGCTAGATATATTATTACCCCTTTGGGGAAGATCCCTTAAGCAATAGTATTCACGGATTAGCCGGCGTAGCGAGTGTAGTTATAAATCGAGTCAAGATGCAAATTAAAACCGAATATATATCATCATCAAAAGGAATGTGATAATTGTATTATAGACTAATGCAACCTAAGCGTAATGGGAAACTTTTAAACTACCTATCGGTAAAGCAAAATAAGTAGCCATTAAAACCAAAAACTACTCTAATTAATTGTTAGTTACGCTGTGTAAAGAAACCCAAGCTATTGGGAAACCAAAAGTTGGTAGCATACTATACTACAAATTAATTGTAAAAGTTATATTGTCAAAACATTCACAAAGAGCAATGTTTATATGCATTTTTTCAATTGAAAAACTAAAAAACCAAATAAATATTGCCAAATTGTGGCACAACTCGAATACAATCCCCAATCCTTCTCCCTCGCTGTGCTCTCCTATAAGCAATACGTGGAAGCAAATGTTGAATAGTAGTTTTTAAATGTTGTTGAATCGCAAAGCAAAAATCAAAGATGTCATACAAATTTAAAATTTAGTAAATGTAATGGAATTGTAGTTGTTGAGAGAACTCTAAAAAGCTTATATATCAATCGGTTGGCGGAAAGTTGGTTCAAATGGTTAAAAATAATAAAAATCTACTGTTTAGAACGGATGTTTTGTATCTGGTTTTATTGAGAGAAAGGCGTGGGATCCCTATTTTAGTTAATAAACTGAATATGCTTCATTGCCAAGCATTAAAAATCATTTGTAATACAAATGTGTAGCCATTCACAGAAAATGCAATTCCCAAACAATGCAGTTATATAATATTTTTCTCGGTAAAGTGTACAAGTTAATATTTATTGGTCTAGAAACCGGTGTCATAAGAGTGGTCCTACTTTCTTTCCAAGGTTCCCGGAGGTCACCTGCAGAAACTCGATTTCGAGGCAGGCAATGAACCCAAGGAGGGTTACGCAAGTGCCTGACTTAACCATAGTGAAGAGCCACTGGAAAGGCGTTACTTCTGTGAACTGTACTTCGGTTTGGGGTCTTTCATGACAAAATATATAATGTGTGGCCCAGTGAGAGTTGGGAGGAGCGTGAGTGACAAATTACTGGGACCCGATCAACAATTTCTAGCCGTCAAAACGCGTGCTCATCCAGTCGAGTGTGCACAAATGTGTGTGCGTCGGCATTTAAACAATTATTAGCAACTAATTAGAGTATGTATAGCACGGAAGGGCTTGAGTGCGGTCGAAGGAGAAAGTGGATTTTACCTAGAAGTGTGCACAGAAACTGTCACTTTCTAGAGGGGCACGCGCGCCAAAAACCAAATCTCTCCGGCAGGGTCAAAAGCAGCATCTTCGTGGTTTGTTGGGTAATATCTTTGGGGATGCAGAGATGAAAGTGAAATGCAAGAATCTGAAGAAAGTCCGAAAAGAAAAGTCTCCGAGCCGAAGGTCAATCTTTAAATGATTTTTTGCCCGCTTTTACTCCAAAGATATAATTAAATGCATGGCATATAAAATACTTAAAGTAATTTGTTTGTGAAATAAATGTAAGAATTAGTAAAACTTTAACATAGCTTACAGAAACTTATTTAAAAATTTTGATTATTATATTTTGGGCCAAAGTTTTGTTTTAATCAGTTGTAAGTACAAAATTGTAGGTGCTACAAAGCGTATGGTTATTTAGGGAAGTTAGAATGAGTTAGTGGTGTGTGAAGTTCTCATTTTTCTTAGGATAGGGCTATTTTTAGCCTCAGCCAGTTAAAGATAGTTGAGTGGTAAGGTGAGTGCCGTATGAGTAAAGAGATTAGTTTAGCTTAATTCATTAAGCAGATACGGAGTGGCTCAGTTATCGAAGAATATATATACGTTTAGACATCCCTCTACCAAGCATCGGTGGTTCAGTGGTAGAATGCTCGCCTGCCACGCGGGCGGCCCGGGTTCGATTCCCGGCCGATGCAACGTTTTTTTTTTATTTGTTACTCGGTTACCCAAGATTAAAAAAGTAATTTAATTTGTTTGTGTAAATGCTCCCAGTATTTGAGTGAGGCATCTGTCTCATAGACGACTAAGACCATTTTAAAAGACCGAAGGCATAAGTAATCGTAAATCGCATAAGGTATCGTAAATCTGAAATATTTATGAGTATTTTATTATCAACGAATCAACTTCATAAAAAAAATTATTGTTGTTTTTAAATAAACTCAATATAATAAAAAAAAGTTGCATCGGCCGGGAATCGAACCCGGGCCGCCCGCGTGGCAGGCGAGCATTCTACCACTGAACCACCGATGCTTGGTAGATGTGCGCTCAATCGTCAATATATGCTACGATGAATGAACTATTAAGAAGTTGCATCGAGCTTTTGCTTTAGACCTTTAAATATTAATAAAGATTGTTTCTGCTGAATTCGGTAAACGAACATTTTCAAGTTGTGAAGTATCAAATATTAGTTCTTTTTAATTTGTGAGTTTTAAAAAAAGCCAATTTGGGGATTATTAGCTAAATTCAATTATTAACATTCGCAAAGTTGTCGTACTACCAAATATTTGTGAACCACTGATCAACCAAATAATTTCCCAGTACTTTTGCACTAATTTTTTATGCCACACTTGTGAGTTTATAATTAAACTAGATCTTCAGTGCACGAGCGTAAACGTCAACTGTTTCATGTAATAATGGCCATTTGGGCAGCGTACTAAAAACATAAACAAGTAAAAGCTTCATGGAGACATTAAAAAAGTGAAAATCTTTTTAGTTACATTGGTCGGTCAGTGACCAAATACAAAGGCGGAATCAACTTAAAGAACGTAAATGTTGTTTGAATTAATTTTGTGTGGGAACGTTTAAGTATTTTATAACTTCCCATTGCGTATAATAAATATTATATTATTCCAGTGTTGCAATTTTGTTAACGACACTTTCCTAACAGGTATTTACCAGGCTTTTAACCACGTCGAGTTAAATGCTTTAAAAACGGTTATTATAAACTAATTACTTCGTAGTTAGGTATGTTCTGCACATAAAAGAGATTAAGGCTCGTGTATAAAAATAAAAAAGAAGGCAAGGGCTTAGCCCAATCTTAAATTATTTAAACTTGTCATTTATTATTTGATAACCTCTTATTAGTTACATTCCGCTCCTGAACTATAGTGACCGCCTGGCATATATCACATTTGAAGAGCCATTTAAGAAGGTCAGTTTTTCAAGCTGAAGCCCAGAAACCGGAAGGGCAAGGTCTTATTTGGTCTAGAACAAGCCGAGAAAACTTTCCCAAAAAAAGAAAACGCAGACAAAGGTATTTTTTTGTGTTCTCAGAAGTTTAATGGATCTCGTTTCGGTCTCAACTAAAACTAGAATAAATAACTTAGCATCTAGACAAGTAACATTAGGTGGCAAATTTGGAAAAATTCTCTGCAATTTAGCGTTAGTCGGTGCACTTGGATGCAAGGGTGCACATGAGTGTTTTGGGGCAGAAGAGCAGGCTCTTGGAGCAGCTCATCTTGTGGCCCTTCATCTGACCCTGGGCGTTCTTGTAGCACACGAAATAGCTGGAAATGGAGGTCTGATCGGGGATCTTGTCGCCCTCCTTGCAGTAGTACTTCCTCTTCTTTGCGGGAGCTGATGATCCACCAACCAAACCATCGTTGCTCTGGATGATAATGGGTCTGCTGGTGGTGGTGGTTAAGCTAACCTCCGGCAGATTAACCGCATAGGAGTCGAGGGGATCGCTTTCTATGTTCGGCGAGATGCCATTTCCTGCCTGCTGACTGTTTCCATATTGCTGCAACAGATTGGCAATACTCTGCGCCTTCAAGGCAGCCTCCTGCCTTCTCTTTGCCTCACTCAGCATCTTGATGGCCTCCATCTGGAGGCGTCTATTGCTATCTATGGTATAGCCACTGAAGGCAGGCATCACATTACCGCACTGCGCATAAGTGGGGGCATCGCAGATCCTGGTTTGCTTATTGAATGCCGTGTAGGGAGGACAGGAGTAGGACAGGACCTTGCCATCCTTTTTGCTGCAAACAAAGTAGCGCGTGCAGTCCGTTTGATTGGGCTGCCTTACTCCCGCCTGGCAGGTGATGACCTCCACATTGCCCAGCTCGTTCAATGCCGACGACGACTTGGTCATCAGTGGGAGTATGGATTTCTGGAAGACATCCAGGCTGATAAAGTTGCCATTGAAGTTCACGAGTTGGCCATTTGGGGAGTTACTCTCCGGGTACTTCAGGCTATCCCCCTTGTAGGAGTTTAGATTCGGACCACTGGTGAACATGCTCATCTCCATATGGCCATCCGAATCACTATAAATACTGCTGCTCATCGTGGGCCTGGGCATATATGGGTGATGATGGTGCTGCTGGTGCTGCTGCTGCTGGTGGTTATAACTCTGCTCCAGATATCCATTGCCAGGTGCTAATTGCTGGCTCATGTCGCTGCTGTAGGTCAGTACGTGAGGAAGAGTGTTCCCATTGCCATTCGCATTCCCCGAGCCACCACCACTCTGATAGTTGGCCTTAATCATATCTTCGTCCATCTCCATGCTTTCGATTTTCTGCGAATTGGGTCGTATGCTCACCCTGTCCGCCTCGATTTGTCCAGGAAACATATTCATGGGCCTGGGCATGTTCATCGTGGGATAGCTCTCCGTGGGCTGGTACACCCTATTCGCATTGTGCTCCCCCAGATGAGGACTCGGTGTGTAGTAGGTGGCCACGGTGGCGGCCGAGGGTTGCTGTTCAAAGGGTCGCGGAGTGGTCAAGGTGTAATCACTGGCAAACGGGGACTGGGATCCATACTGTGAGGAATACGTACTGGCCGCAGTCGTAACCGAAAGGGGCCTGGCTGTGGTCATGTACTCCATTCCACTGGGTTGATTGGGGGTGACATGCTTGTCCATGCTGGGATATACCCCCAAACTGTTGCCATATGAGTCCAGTACCTCTTTTTCACCCGAACTTGTGCTCGATAAGTGCACGGGTATCACATTGTTGTGGATGATGGTAGTGCTGGGCTTATTATAGCCATTTCCCGAGGAACTTCCTCCAGAAGAATGCTTCTTGTGCTGCATATAATGTGGATTTAAGGGAGGTGGCATGCCGTAATACTGCTGGAAGGGATTTCCTTGGGGAGAAACAAAAACAGGCTGCAAAATGGGCTGATAGTAGGCTCCATTAAACCCTGGATTGGGCAGCACTTTGGGTAAGTTTTGGGCAGCTATCATCTGCTTGGATAACTCGAGAACAGTCTTCAGCGTATCCTCGGATATCTTGGGTTCATGGTCGCTGTACTCGTGACTTTGAACCGGATGATGATTTGAGTAGGCACCCTGTTCCTGACTCATTCCGTAACTGGAAGGCAGGGCGAACATCACGGAACCCTCGGGACGATTCACCACTATCTGGGAGTTGGCATATCCCTGCCCAGTACTTCCATGCGCGGAATAGGGCAGGCTGTTGGTCAGCATTAGTTTCGTTTCCGGTTCCAAGCGATGGTGACTCAAATGCTCCTGCAGCCTGCTCTTATTCGAATTGGGTTCAGGTAATTTGGGCGTAGTTTTGGGTGCTTCTGTGGTGGTACTGCTGGTAGTAATTGGCGTATTCTGCTCCATGGGATTCATCATCTCATAGCGATTCTTAATGTCGAAATGAGCCAGAAAGGCATTCAACTGATCCGGACGCATTTCCGCCTGGGGTTTATCGGTCTTCTGGTAGGTCTGCTGCAGTCCATCAATCAGCTGGGATAGTCTCTGCAGATGAGCAGTCAAGTTGGGATCGATGGGCGATCCCGGCTTGGCGATTTCGCTGACACCAGCCACTTGTTTGAGCTCGGTTTTAAGTTTTTCGACCTCTGTTCTGTGCTCCATACTGACCGAAGCGATTTCCTCCCGATTCTCAGGCTTTGGGGCAGCTGGAGAGTCCAGTTCCACCAGCTCACCATCGCCACTGGAGTCGAAATTGTGGCTGGAGGAGATGTCGTCGTCCGAATGTGGCCTGCTCTTTGCCCCCTCCTCATCCTCCTCGCTACTCAGTGTGGAGCCCAGAACAATTTCCACTGTACCATCGTCTTTGTGGCTGGATTCGTTTAACAGCAATCCCGCCTCATCCATGTCGTTGACTATCAATATGTCCGAATCTGGTTTGCCAGGCGATTGGGTAGAGCTCATCTCACTGGGCGTGATGCACTCCCAATCCTCGCCAGGCAGGACGCAGCTGCCCAGACTGGGCTCGTATACCAATCCCTCGTTGCACTTCACCGGAATCCAAACATGCGAGTTGGAGGGCAGTTCCCGGCACTTGTAGAAGGCGTCGCAGCGGGTTTTGTGGGGACGTGTCTTTTCAGGGCATGGTTTGCCTTTGATCCAGTCCAGAAATCGAAAAATAGAGCACGGAAAGGAAGAAATACACACATTAACATGGGAAAAACCACAACGCTTTTAATTTCATTTTTTGGACTTTTCAAGATTTTATTTAATAAGAGGTGACTTTAACTTAATCTTGAATTTTTCTTTCTATTTAATTGTAGGTAAGTATTCACATAAAAAAGACTTCCATTTTGATTAAATTTGATTTTAGAAAAAGTTTTTAAGTTAGTTGTTTCTAAAAAATATTATTTAGCTTTTTCAAATAGCTATTTTCCTTTCTAAATATTTTTTTTAAATTGTGCTTTAAATAAAAAACAATGTTTAAAAACCAGATCTAGTAAATTGATTGTCCACACTTCACTCCCTAGCGTATTTTACCTTCGGAAAAGTAAAACAAGCCCATAATCAACGTGTAAACTAGTAGCTGCCTCATCGCGTATCCTTTTCGCGTAATCCTTTCGCCCGTGTTCCGTAATCCGCAATCCGTAACCGTAACTTCCGATCTGCTCCGTTCGAAGCCCGCGACACGAATGACTGAAGATCCAGAGCGGCCGGTACATTAAATTTTGATCATTTTCACTTTGGGCCGAGGTTCTCTGAAACTCGGACGATGTGTGAAATAGTCCGAAAGCGAACAAACAACAAAGTATAAGACGAATTTTCTTGGACTCTCAGCTCTCAATGCTCGCATTTAAAACGTCTCATAATAATTGTTTAAACAAATAGTGCTGCTGGAAACATCGGAGAATCAAGGAAATTTCACTTTTTTGTGCGTAGTTTGTTTGGTTTAAGGTATAATATAATGTGAGGCGTATATATTTAGTAATCTTGAAGAAAGTAAAAAATGGGGTAAAAACGCATAAACATTACAGCATGATCAATGAATATTTATTTTCTTAGAGTTACATATTTATATTTTAGAAATTAAGGTTCCAAAATTCCAAGTAATATTCTTATTCTGTCTGGCAAATAAATCGAAATTTATAGCTACATGAGTAATCGTACATTCCACCATTATATAGAAATATACAATTATTAGTGTTCAATTGGGTGGGACTGCCAATGGCCCATTTTAAAAAGGGAGCTGGCTTTCCTGTAGCAATTGACAAGTAGTCACTCTTATTGAACAAGTCGTTGATTCCCAACCAGTAATGGGTGTCCCCCTTGAGATTCGCCTGAAGGTCGATCAGTTCCTGTTCGTCCTTAATGTCCGCCAGGTTACCTCCCATCTGACGACAAGTTTTTGAAGCACTGGACCAATTCTTCTCAGAGTATTTCTCTATGTAGAAGTACTTCGAGCCGATTTGCTCGAATCCCACATATTTGATTTTGGTTTCCACTCTGGATAATGTTTCCTGTAAGGCCGACAGTTGCCTTTTCAAATCATCATGTCTCTCCGTCAAGTTCTGCTGGTTGATACCCAAAATCGTTTGTTGGTTCTCCAGAGAACTCAGTTGGCTTTCCATCGTGTACTGTCGCACAAGGACTTCATTTGCCTTGTTCGCCTCACTGGTATTCCTTTGATCCTTGGGTAAAGTTAAGTGATTTAGCACCGGCGTCAATACACTAAGACAGAATCCTCCGCACTGATTTGGGGGGTCCTTCAAAAGACAAACGGATTCCGTCTCCGCCAAAGCTCCATTTGAAATCAATGGCAGAAGTGCACAAAGCAACGCAATTCCCGATTTAAGCATTTTTTAATACCTTTCTCCACTGAACACAATTAGTTTAAATGTACTGACTCGGGGTTTTTATACCTAACAACTCTTATTTGTTTTTTAGAATGCAACCAATTTATTTAGAGTTAAGTAAAAGCATTTAACAAAGCAGTCGACTAATGAATATTCATAGACGCGTTTAATTTAATGCAGAAATCACCTTGACTTCATTTAAATAAGAGCGCAATAGTGTAGTGATCCTACCAAAAAACCCATGCCATTCAATACCTAACTAATTTGTTTGTCTCTTTGTTAGAAATTAAATTCTTGTTAAGTTTTGATGATGGTAATAAGGTTTACTATTTACATCAAATAATTTTAATTTTATTCAAAGATTTAAGGGTATGAACATTTTTGTGTAACAAAACAAAGGAATTAACAAAGGATTATTTTGATAAATGTATTTCCCTTCAGTACACTGATAATGTGAAAAACATGCAACACAATCCTGGACACAAAGGTTATAAACCTTCTGTGTTCGTTCTTTTATTTCAAAAAGCTATTCCTCCGTATTAAATAAACGTACTACTTAAATATACTATCTCAGTCCTTTTATTTAAAAAAACTGTTCTTCAGTATTCCATTAACACACCGTACTAAATAAGAATAAATTAATTAATAAGAAAATTCCGTAAGAAAATAAATTCTTTAATGAATACTTATATTATGCACACAGTGCATTTACAAAAATGATAAATCAAGTAAAAATGCTGTAGAAAAAATGAAATCCACTCATTTTGTGTCAGAATATTAAATAGTTTATATGTTATATTTAAATTAAAAATTGTTATATTTTTAATATTTGTTTACCCCTACGCCATTGAGCACACCATGTCTAAAAAATAAGTTGCCAAATAATTTTATTAAATGTCTTTGTCCACTTGGCAAATAAAGCGGTTACTACTGTCGCATGAGTAATTGTACATAAGACCATTGTACAGGTACACGCAGTTATACGAATCGTAGTTCTCCGGATATCCATAACCCCATTTTAAAAATCGAGCTTGCTTGCCGGTAGCCGAATACTTGAACTCGCCGATGTTGACATTCCTGATGCCGATCCAGTACCAAGTGTTTTTCATGAGATAGTGGCTTATGGCCTCAAGCTCGTCCAGGTCCTTAATGCCAGCCAGGTAACCACCCATTTCGTGACAGGTGCTTGCAGCAGTGGGCCAGTATTGCGTGGATGTATTCTCGATGTAGAAGTATCTCGAACCAATCTGTTTAAAATCCGGATATTTCAACTTAAATTCGTGTCTGTCGACTATTTCTTGCAAGGATTTCAATTGGTCATCAAGAAGATCGATTCTTTTCAACTGGCTTTCCAACATATCCAGCTTCACCATGATGTCATTTGCTTGGGTCACAGGCGCCATTACAGTATCCTTGTATCCTTTCAACTGGTTAGGAGGGTTCTGCAATGGTTCGGTCGCTACCAACGATCCATATAAATTTAAGAAAAGAAGTGCCCATAGAAGCGCTGTCGCCGACCTTAGCATTTTCATTTATATTACTACTCAACACGATGGTTCCGTCAAAACTGATTTTTCTCTAATGATGGGGTTATAAACATGCAGCTCAAAGCAAATCGATTTATAAAATGGCATCTATTAAACTCCGAGTTAAATAAATGCAACCAAATAATTGAAGTAATGAATATTGATAGACTCTTATTTTATTTTCATTGGAACAAAAAAGAAAGGAAACTTCGATTTCGATGCTTAAAAAAATAAAGTTAGTTGCACGTAAACTGGAAACTATCAAATGTTTTATTTATATATATATATTTGTATATCATTACATTTTTAATGTCGCGGTCTCTTTTTAAATTTGAGTAGCTACCCCAATCGTAAATAAATTTAGTTTTAGTCGAAGAAAAGCCTCGAAATATGTCTGAAAAAAATATAATACGGATTATTAACTACATTAATAGCAATATTCAATAAAAAAAATGCGAAAAGCAAAACAAAGCCCGACATGAAAGTTGTAAACGTACTTTCTTCGTCCTTTTATTTCTAAAAGCTATATTAAATTAAACACCTCACTTAAAAAGAATTTTGTAAAAGCCGTCAAAAAAATAATTTGTGTAAGAAATATTTATTTTAGAAAAAAAACAGCCACTCATTTTGTATCAGAATATAAATAGTTTTTAAATGCAAAACCAATTTTATTGTTATATTTTCAATATTTGTTTATCCCTTCGCAATTGAGCACTCCATGTCTAAAATATACATTTTAAAATCGCTAAAGCGTAGCCAGTTTATTATTTTTATTAATTGTCTTTGTCCACGTTGCAAATATAGTGGTTATAGTAACCGCATAGGAAATTGTACATAAAACCATTGTACAGGAATACGCAGTTATACATATTCCCGTTACAGGGATAGCCATCGCCCCATTTTAAATATCGAGCTGGCATGCCGGTAGCCCAAACCTTGAACTCGCCGCGGTGGACGTTCCTAATGCCGATCCAGTACCGAGTGGAGTTCTTAAGCTCTGGACTTAAAGCCTCAAGTTCGCCCTTTGTGTCGAAGGATGCCAGGTGACCACCCATTTCTTGACAGTTCCTTTCAGCAGTGGACCAGTTTTCCGTAGATAAACCACCGATGTGAATGTAACTCTGACTAATCGGCTCCAAACTTGGAGCTTGCACCCTCAATTCTCCAACTATTTGCCGGTAGGCTCTAGATTTGTTTTCCTGCGTAGCTTTAACTCTAGATTGGAGATCGGTCATTTTCTGCTGCCCTTCCATTACAGTATCCTTGTATCCTTTGAACTGGTTAGGAGGGTTCGCTACCAATGCTCCATATAAATTTAAGAAAAGAAGTGCCCATAGCAACACACTCGTGGACCTTAGCATTTTAATTGTTAGAATTGGTTACCACTGAACACGATGGTTCTAACAAAACTGATTTTGCTCTACTGATGATGGGGCTTTACAAATACAGCTCAAACAAATCGATTTATAAGATAGCATATATTTGACTCGGGGTTAAATAAATTTAACAAACTAATTAAAGTAATGAATATTGATAGATCCACCTTACATTGAAAACAAAATAGGAAGCAAATTTCGGCAAGCCCAAGTTTAAAACCTTGTAGCTCTTACAAAAATTGCATATTCTAAATTTCGATTTTGATGATTAAAAACAATACAGCTAGTTTTCGTACAAACGTACAAGTCGTCGGAAACTTATAAATAACCAAGATGAAAATAAGTCAAAAACTTGATCATCTTTAAAATGACAACGAATCAAACCACACTTGAGAGCTACATATGTATGTCTCTTTGAAATCGAAATCCTTTCTACAAGGCAAAAAATGTTTCTTAAATATTTTTGTATTTTGTTAATACTTATTTTAGTGAATAATTACCTTTTAAATGTCGCTGTATCTTTTTAAATTTAGGTGGCTACCTTCCGTATTTATCGAGTACAACCACCAATTGATAAAAATTCCTAAAAAATGTAATGGTATATTTTCACCACTAAAATGATGCAAAAAGTATATTTTGTAGAGTCAAACGGTATATTTTCCAGATATTTCCCTGGTCACACTGCATCTATTTCGCTTGTAAAAAAATGAACAGCAATAACAAATAAACAATTAGTGCAGCGATACGATACCGACTTCTCGCAATTACGTGGATCGAAACTAAGGCGGCAGCGGAAAATCGTGCAATATTTCACCCACCAATTTATTGGCCCAGGAAAACTCAATTAAGAATCCCGCACACATACACACACTCATGCAGCCGCGCACAGGAGACAACAAACACACACACAGGCGCAAGTTGTAGGAGCACCCGAGTAAGAGGAAGAACCAAAAGGTAAGGCGCAGGTAAAAAAAGAGGAATAAGCACCCAGAAAATGCTAAAAACAAAAGAGAACACCATTTTTGCATTGGAATTCGCAGCTGTAAAGCTGCGGCAACGGAGGCGAGCAAGACAGAAGCCGCGACCTTTGCCTCAATTACAAACAAACACACACATTCGTCGGAGGAGTGGGAGTGGGAGAGGTGGCAACCTTTTTTTTGGCGTGCGTTACATGACCACCAATATATATACATATATATACTAATAATGTTGTGTGGGTGACTAAGCCCAACGGTCGATAATTCAAGGAAGTTCAAGTTCCCCCTCCCTGGGAACTGCATTCTTGATTTATTGACAGCTGTTGCTGATTATTTCGCTGTGTTTTCGCTTTTCACTGCCCCACAAGATAACTCCCCTTTGTTCTTTAGAATTAGCTGATAAACACTTGAGTACTGGACCCTACGATAAGCGACAGAAAAGCCGGAAAGTGCGTGCTAATTGATCGGATGTGATGTGTCAATTAAAATCCATTGAAAGCGATTCCTAGTCAATTTCAACCTGGCGACGGAATTTGATGAGTTAACAAATAATAAACAAGCTGCAGTTGCTCACGTGTTCTCGCCAAATTAATGCAGTAAGAAACCCAAGCAAAAGGGAAATCGCAACCACTGCACAGGCAGAAAAATTTATAAAATACTCATTTTTGAACATAATATGGTAAGACCAAAAAATTGTCAGTGCAATGACCAAAATTATGTATTAACTATGTTTGATTAGCCCAACAAAAGTCTGCAAATGTTGTGGTCAACTGTGGTATCTTTTATTATTTCAACAAAGTTCATCCAAACATATACATAAATATCGTGCAGAATATAAATATCAACTCGGTTTTAAATCCAATTTTTTGAGGTGTAGACAATCAATATGCAATGCCGCCAATTCAACAAATGAAACTGAATTTATTTACCGTTTTCTTTTTCGTGTAGTTGATGAGTCACAGAGCCACATTATTATACAATCTATTGTTAGAGTCATTGTGTTTGCTATCAAAATTATAGATGACCAGCAATCGGCGGGGAAATTGTAACAAAAATGTACAGACAAACATACACGCACACACCCGTGACAGTTTCGAATTTGGCGAAAATTAATAGCCCATATACAGTGCTTCCCAGAAATGTAATATCAGTTGCCATGGGAGAATATTCAGCTATCAGTAAAGTTATATGGCGGAAGTTCATCTGTATGTCAGCTAATTTTTGGTTTTGGGGTTTTTATATTTTTTCTTATTCACTGTGAGCTGTTGTTTGAGCTTAAAATAAAAACATTGCTCACAATTTTGTAAAATAATAAAGTTTTTTTTATCAGTTTCCGTAATCCTTTTTTGAATTTACTTTTCCTTAGCTCGTATAGTTTGCCCATTATAAATTTCTTTGAAATTTTACGAATATAATTTGCTTTATATTGAAATTCAAAAATGAATTATTAAGCTTCCTTAAACAGTAGACTTCCTCAATTAACTTTTAAATAAATATATGTGTACTAAAATCATTACGTGCCTGAGAAGCACTGTATTTTAGCTACGATAATGGCGAAGTAAACCTGGTGCATTTTGCAGCTCACATTTTGTTCGAGGAGTTTATAACACGAAAAAAGTGAAGGCCTGTTCGCTAACAATTTTGTTGTTATACGTCGTTTACACTATATACTAACAGAGAGCTCAACTGCCTATATCTTATCTGCGGCTAGTCGCTTTCATAATGATATAGAACCCGAATTATCTCGCTACCAAGATTAAACCTTTAAATAGTCAAGAGTTAAATGCGCCTAAAGGGAACTGCATAACATTGTTTTCTCGCCTGCATTGCTTGGTAAATCACTTTTATACAGCTTATGTTTCTATATATGTTTGTGCACAGAAATAAATTATTGTAACTATAGACTGTTGACTCATAGGAATATAAAGCTAATATATATACTTTCCTTTTATTAAGCAAAGGGTGGTAATAGCAAGTCCCCTTTTCGACTGTATTGGTTAATTTTGGTTATTGATAAACCATTTACGTATGTACACTGTGTTCCGGGCTTATCTTATCAGCTCCCGAACACGCAATTTCCTATTCGATACTTTCCACCACCAGCATTCTCAATACTCGCTTTCTCTTTCAGAACGAAAGTTTACCGAAGTGGTGAAGGTCACTCAGAGGAAGGAACACAACGCGGAGGAGAAGGAGGAGCAGCAGCACTCAGCCACTAAATGGCCGATGGAAATGGGCTGCCAGCGGGTGCAGCTTCCGGAGGCATGGAGACCGGACAGACAGTGAATGGAGCCGGGTCCGCCAGCCCAACGCCCACTTCCAGTTCGGGGGCGGGGGCTAGTGGGAGTGCCAATCAAGGATACCATCAATTAAGTGTGACAAGTGAGTAAACAAAAGAAACAGCAAGAAACATTCTGTACAATTAATTATAACCCAAAATCTTTTTAGTCGAGGAGGCTTCTCTGCGCAACAACGGCTTTCTCAAGCCAAATCCCTATGTGGAGCTCCTGATCGACAGCAAAAGCAAGCGGAAGACGGACCTGGTCAAGAACACTTATCTGCCCAAGTGGAACGAGGAGTTCACGGTTCTGGTGAGTAATGAATATATATAAACTGGAGGCACAATTCTCAACATAATTTTTTGCCGTAGATCACACCCAACTCCACTCTGCACTTCAAGGTGCTAGATCACTCCAGTTTCCGCAAAGATGCCATGCTGGGAGAGCGAATCATCAACCTATCACACATCCTGCAGCATTACAACGGGCGCTGCGAGTTCCTCGAGCTGACCATAGACCTGTTCGTCACGAGCAAGTCGGACAATCGCCAAACGAAGAGCGGCGAGCTGGTGGCCATTCTTAACGGTCTCAAACTGGACATGAGCAAGCTGCAAATTCAACCACCGGCGGTCCAACAGAATGGCAATCCACCCGTCCAGGCTGTCAACCCGTCGGTGGTCAGTGAAGCGGCGTCCGGACGCAGTTGCATGATTTACGGTGGAGTGCGAGCACGTATGCGACTTCGCTCAAGTAGTGGCAACAGCAATGGCGAAGAGGGCCGCTCGCCCCTGCCGAACGGAGGAGCGGAAACCAGGAGATCTGCGCCAGCTCCGCCAGTATGGGAACAGCAGCAGCAATCCCAGAGTCAGCCGCAGCCCCTGAGGATGGTAAATGGCAGTGGGGCGGCGGTGCCGCAGACAGCGCCGTATCCCCAGCAACCCCCGGCTCCCGCACTTGCACGTCCCCTAACCCAAGTTTACGGAGCGCTGCCAGAGAACACTCCGCAAGCTGCGCTCTGCCCTCCTATCGAACAGCCTGGAGTTGGACTTCCCGTGAGCCAAAGCACAGATCCGCAACTCCAAACGCAACCGGCGGACGATGAACCACTGCCGGCTGGCTGGGAAATTCGACTGGATCAGTATGGCCGACGGTACTATGTAGATCACAATACACGTTCCACTTACTGGGAGAAACCGACGCCACTGCCTCCAGGTTGGGAGATAAGGAAAGATGGACGCGGACGAGTTTACTACGTCGATCACAACACGAGGAAGACCACCTGGCAGCGGCCGAACAGCGAGCGCTTGATGCACTTCCAGCACTGGCAGGGTCAGAGGGCCCACGTTGTATCCCAGGGCAATCAGCGATACCTGTACTCCCAGCAACAACAGCAGCCAACAGCGGTGACTGCGCAAGTGACGCAGGACGACGAGGATGCACTGGGACCGCTGCCAGATGGCTGGGAGAAGAAGGTAAATCCATTAACGTACCAAATTCAATAATCAATTTTAACTTATAATTTCGCTTATAATGAACAGGTCCAGTCGGACAACCGAGTGTACTTTGTGAATCATAAGAACCGCACCACCCAGTGGGAGGATCCACGAACCCAGGGCCAGGAAGTGAGCCTGATTAACGAGGGCCCGCTGCCGCCCGGCTGGGAAATCCGCTACACGGCCGCCGGTGAGCGCTTCTTTGTTGATCACAATACGCGACGTACCACCTTCGAGGATCCTCGACCGGGAGCACCAAAGGGGGCCAAGGGAGTTTACGGAGTGCCACGTGCCTACGAACGCAGTTTCCGCTGGAAGCTGTCTCAGTTCCGGTACTTGTGCCAGAGCAACGCTCTGCCATCGCACATCAAAATCACGGTGACGCGACAAACCTTGTTCGAGGACTCCTACCATCAGATTATGCGCCTCCCCGCCTACGAACTTCGGAGGCGACTCTATATCATATTCCGTGGCGAGGAGGGACTGGATTACGGCGGAGTATCTCGCGAGTGGTTCTTCCTGCTTTCCCACGAGGTCCTTAATCCCATGTACTGCTTGTTTGAGTACGCGAACAAGAACAACTACAGTCTTCAGATAAATCCCGCCTCGTACGTGAACCCCGATCACCTGCAGTACTTCAAGTTTATCGGTCGCTTTATCGCGATGGCCCTTTACCACGGAAGGTTTATCTACAGTGGATTCACAATGCCTTTTTACAAGCGCATGCTGAACAAGAAGCTTACCATCAAGGATATCGAGACCATCGATCCGGAGTTCTATAACTCTCTTATATGGGTAAAGGATAATAACATCGATGAGTGCGGCTTGGAGCTGTGGTTCAGCGTGGACTTCGAAGTACTCGGCCAGATAATCCATCACGAGTTAAAGGAGAATGGCGAAAAAGAGCGCGTGACGGAGGAGAACAAGGAGGAGTACATCACGCTAATGACAGAGTGGCGAATGACGCGGTAAGCTTTTTAGAGGATAAGCAACAGTATATTTTGAAGAATGATAAAATCACTTATGTCTCTTGTGACAAATTTTTTAAGGCAATTTATTTTAAAATTAGTAGTAAATCATCACTATATACAATTTTTCATTAAACTTATCCACAGTGGCATTGAGCAGCAGACAAAGACGTTCCTGGAGGGCTTCAACGAGGTGGTGCCGCTGGAGTGGCTCAAGTACTTTGATGAGCGCGAGCTGGAGCTGATCCTGTGCGGCATGCAGGACGTGGACGTGGAGGACTGGCAGCGCAACACTATTTACAGACACTACAACCGCAATTCCAAGCAGGTCGTCTGGTTCTGGCAGGTGGGTGGCCTTTATAAACTTAGTGCCATTTAAGTCGCTAAACCGGGTATTTACTTTCGCAGTTTGTCCGAGAGACGGATAACGAAAAGCGGGCCCGTCTGCTACAGTTTGTGACGGGCACGTGTCGCGTGCCGGTCGGAGGATTCGCCGAGCTGATGGGCTCCAATGGGCCGCAGCGCTTCTGCATCGAGAAGGTGGGCAAGGAAACGTGGCTGCCGCGCTCGCACACCTGCTTCAATCGATTGGACCTGCCGCCGTACAAGAGCTACGATCAGCTGGTGGAGAAGCTGACCTTTGCCATCGAGGAGACTGAGGGTTTCTGCCAGGAATGAGTGGCAGTCGATTTGTGGTCGGTTTGTTGATTAATGTTTAATTCCAGTTGAGCGCCTGCGTTACCGTCCCCCCAATCTCTACCCCTACCCCTACCCTTACCCATTCCCCCCTCCAAATCCCCTTCCTCGTTTGACGACCACGTTGCGTTAAATAGTTACTGTTATTATTATTACATACGTATATATTACTACTGTATACTGTAAACACAAAACACACTTTTGTCTGTCTATTCCTATGTTCGCTACAACTAGGCCTTGATTAAGTTTAGTTACCATATTAAATGAAAGGTTTGCCTAAAGTGCGAAATTTGAGAACGATGTATCGATGTATTGAAAGTTTATTTTGAAGTAATGTTTTAATTTTTTAGATATATATTATCTATTACATAATTTCTTTTTGAAACAGGTTTTGAGTGAATCTTTTCTGGTTATAATTTTTTACGATTGTCTTTAAATGTATTTGTCGATAAATTTTTTTTCGCCCATGATTCGTCTGTAAATTATACGCCAATAAATAAAACTACCTGATAGTTCAGCAAAGCCTTGATCAATTTTTATACCACAATTCTCAAAAAAATGCACTTTAAATTCTTTAATAAAACAAACATTAGGCACTTTTGGTATCCCGATTTGTTCAAGGAATAGTTGTGTACAAATAATTTTGTAGCATCCCTCCGTTTTGGCTCACAAAAAGCTGCTCAGCAATCGCAACCAAATGTTACGTTTTTGCCATAAGATTGCACTCTGATTGCTTCTAGTTCAATTGTACAACGAGCCCCGGCTTGCATGTTTTTAGCCACTTTATTGGTGAATTTATATTTATATTTATACGCCCCACTTGTAAATAGTTTACTCAACCAAATTCAAACTGTTAACGAACTGAGTTTGGTTTACTGGCAAACTGTTTTTAACTGTTCAATTGTTTATCACGTATACACAAGAAATCTAAATAGAAACTATATTTTAAATATGTATATCCACACTAAAGAACACACAAACACACACAGGAGATATCGTGAGAACTTGAAACACCGCAAAGCAAACAAAATACGTTAGGATTTTAACAGACAAACAAGAGAATACACTTAAACCAATAATAAATTCAAATAGCAATAATTGTTGTTAACAAAACTAAAAGGTAGCAAAAAAGAGATAAACGGCAGCGATACATATATTAATTATGCTACATAACTGTGCAGACTAAGACAAATCGGAGAATAAGGAGGAGCGACGTATATAGGGTTGATTGTGTACGATTACATATTAAATATATATTATATATTAAATAGATTTTATTTAGTTTAATGCAATGTGTACTGTATTATATAAAATAAATGCAAAATTATTTAGTGATACACAGCCGTGTAATTATTCATGCCCAAAATACTTGAGGGCAATTCGGCTGTGTCGACACTGCGGTTTGTTTTCGCTTAGTCAGCTGCCAATTCGTTGTTGCGGCAATAAATTTAATTACTTTAAGCGCATTTTTGGCAAGCGCATGCATTTTAATGCCCCGCAATTAAAATGTGTATCAAATGTATAAAAAAAGAGTATCGTTTCGGTTAGGTAATGGCTACTGAATATCCAGCCACAATGGTCCACTGATAATATCATCATCATCGTTATCCTCGGATGGGTAACCTACATTTTCCAGCGCTTCTTGTTGGCTGTGCGCTCAAATTTAACAAGCTGCTCCATTATTTATTGCGGTTAAATTGCAAAAACGCAGCAGTCAAAACAAGAAACTATACAGTATTAAAGCACAGGTACACTGAGAAGAAATTGGGGAGCAAAATAGAGTGAAATAAAGTTATGGTATGAAACTTTGTTTATTTATTGGATGTTTTTTCAAAAGGTTTGCGATAAGTAAATTAATTTAAAGATCTAACTACTGGCAAATGGTTATTTTAAAATTAACTATTATTTTCTATGACCTAATATTCTATTATTATTTTCTATGACCTGTTTTAAACAAAATAAAAAAAAATGTTTTTTTAGCCATTTGTTTTTGAAAGTGTTTATTAGCAGCCACGACATAACACCTTCCCGCTGCTTTGGGGATTGGGGGGATTGCATACTGTGTATCGCTGGCCCCCGATCTTTGCTCCGGGCTCCCGACTCCTGGCTCCCAATTCCTGGTCGGCTGCCTGCTGGTTTTAGTTCTGGCACGTGTATTGTTTCGTAATTACGCCACAAATGGGCGGAATCATGAGTCGGCGGAGGCAGCACCTTTCGGAGCCCACCTGGGATCCGGCGCTCGTTGTGGGTGCAAGCAATTTTCACTTTCATCCATGATTTATGTATTCGCGGCTCGTGTTGCCTTGATAGTGCAGTTTTTAAAGTTAATAAAGATTCTATGAGAAAAGGTAAGAAACGTTATTTAAGTCCGGCATTCAAAAAAAAAACGATCGCTTTAGTGTTGCCCACTTACTTTTTTGATCTTTTAGTGATGCTATCTTGACTCAGACTCGGCACTGTGTTATGCCATTCACATTGCTGCGCGTTTGTTGTCATTGGCTTGTTGTTGTGCGCTTATAATTTTAAAATTGGAAAATAAATAATTCTTCACAAATCTCGGATATGAATAACATGGCCTATTCGCCTGACGTGCGGTAAGTTGAAGGACACGCATGCGTATTTAAGCATATTCAAATATACATTTTCTCCTAGAATTCCAGGATTTCTTACCCCTTTGCGCTCCAAAGAACTGCTGGAAAGGCAGAGGGGTGGTAAAAGTGTCCCTAAGAAGGAGTATTTAACCTCCAACAAGCCTTTAGGCCTCGAAAAGCCAGAGAACAAACCTTTGATCATAAGATTGCCAAAAAGCGTACCTTCTATTATAATTACCGATGCGGATTTGGAACGTCCTAAGGAATTGCTACAGCGGCTGGAGAGATCCATAGATCGATCGGCCTCTACATCCAAGATACCATCTAAAAATGCCATTCTAACGTCCCAAACTAGGCAGCGAACCTGGGAAGGACCCAAAAACCACGAGCTTAGGTAAGCTGATTTGATATTTCAACGATTTGACTTTAAATAATGAAGTAAACTGTATTTCCAGACCTTCCAAAATAGTCATACCCTCTTCAGAACCTTGCCCTCTACGATCGCAGAAACTGTTGGAGGACCAGAGGTGCCGGTATCGAGGAAATTCTGCCACCAAGATATCCTCGCAAACTAATCGGGAAACCCAAGATGGTTCAAAAACTCCGGAAAAGCGGTGTGTAAAGAATATTTTTAGAGATATAAATGTATTGGAATGTTAAGTTTTTGTACATTTATACCATTCTAAGCAGTAGTTATACACTACTTTGTTATTTTTCTTATAAAGCTATTCCTCATTTCACCAGCTCCCAATTTATACCTTGCTCGGAACCACAACCAATACGACCAAAAGTGATCCTCGAGCGGGAGCGCCAGGCAGTCATAACCAACCGTGCGGTATCAGTATCGATTGACCGGCCAAAAACAAAGCCACCAACGAGCAGCTTCACATCGAGCCGTCAGTTGGTGCCCTCGATTGGTTTCTCGTACCCCAAGGATCCAAAGAGCCTACCCACATCTAGCAAAGCAACCAAGCTGACCAACTCAAAGCGCAAGCTGGATTTCCACACGGATTTGGGCAAGGATTCGCTGCGGCAGAAGCTGGATAGAATTTCAAAGGAATGGCAAAAAACGACAGAGTACCAGCTAAGTCAGTTCATAGCGGATTTTGTGAAGCAGCTGGTTCGTTTTCTACCCTTTTGTGGTGTAAAATTTTCGCATCTTAGCAGTGATTGCTATATGCAGCAGATGATGGAGGCACTGCAGCAGCTCCACTATGCGAAAAAGGTGAGCAAAAGTTGGCTACGCATGCCAATCACCCAAAAAGCTTTTGGCGATGTGCTAGAAATGCTACATTTCTTGTTGAATGTTGTTGAAACCCGAAGCGAGGAGGGGATATGTAAGATTCCTATTATTTCAGAAAAACAGGCAATGTTTAAGCAGACTGCCAGAGATTTTAGTCCAATGAAAGGAGCCACAGAATATAGAAAAATAAAGATAGAGCCGTCTTTTGATAGCAATTGTAGTATATCCAATGAAATAATGAGGTTGCAAGAAAATGTCCAGAATCTAAAATGCCAAAATGATAAATTAAACTGCCAAGAGGACCTGAAGCCGATTAACTTCATAACCACCAATGAAATAATGGATGGAGTTACTAATCTTGACTACGCAATATTGCTGGATAATCAGGAGGAGCGTTTGCATGAATTACAACTGCATCGTCTCCGTCTCCAGGAGATTTCCGAGCTTGTGAGCCTTGCCAAGCTGAAATTAAAACGCTGTTGTACAGGGGACAAAGAAAGTATCCATGCTTTTAATGAGCAAATTGGAGGTTTGGCAGCCTCCTTACTGGTTTTAAAGAAAATAAGGCCGAAAACCCAGTTACATTTAACTGTGAATTCCACGTTAGATGAGATTAACGAGCGTAAGGAGCAGCTCCAGCAGATGTATGAAGAGAATTACTCAAATCTTTTGCAGTTAAACATATAGCCACCTTAAGTGAACCTTACGGCGAAGTAAGCCACATGTCTCAATGAATCTCATAAGGTTAGAGTTAATTTAAGCAAATATTTGCGTGTTACGTAAGTTGCACACTGAGCCCAGCATTTAAGCTGCTGGCTTAGTAATTCCTTCCTGATTTATTTAATTGAATTTATCAACTGGAAGCTTCGGCAATGTCCTCGATTTAAGTTCCTGTAATTGACATTTGAATGAGTCATCGGCAGCTTGGCTACACTTTCTTAAAGGAAATAGCTGAAAAGTTAAGCTGCTTAACTTCCAACTACATAAAAGTTTACATTTTTCGGGGTTTCTTGGAAGCAATTTTTCGTGAATATAATAATGTCTATCTTAAGATTTAAAAAATCATTTTAGTGTAAAGGTTCTGTTTATTTAAAAAACATCACAAGCAATGTACTTTAAGTTTTGCGTAAAATATTAGCGAATATTTACGTATCAATTTATAGTTATCAGTTTATTGAAAAATTCAGTATTACTTCCGTACTTAAAAAAAAACTTCGTAAATGTAAAAACGAATCAACATTTAGGTGCGTAAATCTTTTTCTGTAAAACAATAAAATAAAAGGAAATTTGTGTGTAACAATTGTATAATCTTTTGGGGTATTAAAAAAAATCATAAAAAAGTATTTAAAAAATGCAAGCCATAGAGTAGTTGCCAAACCAGGAGGCTGCATTTTGATGTTGTGGAAGACTTGTGGATTGGCATTAATTTAGAGGTCCTGCAGCAAGGACGCCGCATAACGAGGGGGAGTGGGAGGTGGCTGGCCGGCTATATGCATGTGCTGGGGTTAGATTTATAATGCGTTTGTGTTTGTGCCCCAGAGTGGAACTAATAATCTTATTACTCAACTGGAAGAGATGCAAGCCAGCGTCAGTCCCCAGCATAAACTTGAACACTAAAACCGCACCGCACCCACAGACGGAGCTGTGCAATTAAACAGTGAACTGCATAAATTATTTCTCTGCAACAAAATGTTTAAAGCCCGCTCGGCAAATCCCGGCTGCCGAGTTGCCAGGGCAGGCAAATGTAATAAAATACATGAATTAGTGTAATGGAAATGCGAATTCCTAGAACAAACAATGCCAAAATTTCGAATGCAAATTCCCCAGCCAAAGACAACACCACATTCAGAATTTTGCGCAAATTAAACAATAACAACACGAACGAAGTGAGGCAAAAAGCACATTCACCTAGAGTGCATAAATGTGTAAGGATGCTAAAGAAAATGTGGTCCAAATGCCAAGATTATGCCATATAGTAGTTAGTTCAGGCCCGGCTCGAAAATAGTTATCTGCTCCACATCGTGTGTCATAAGTTGCTTTCCAACTTCGTAGCCAAAAATACCGAGAGCACCTTTAAAACTTGCCCGAAAACCCAGGCCAAAACAATTACGGTCTGTGGTGGAAAGCAGAATGGGTGGTGGGCGGTAGGTGGTGGGTGGTGCTGTGCTGGTGGTTTTCTTGTACATTATTTTCGTTCATAAAACAAACACTCACCTCGGCAGCCACTCACTCACAAAAGAACAGCATCCGGCTGACAACAGCAGCTTCTCTACATCACAGCATCGCTGGAGTGAAATAATCGCATATCGTAAACTTTGACTTCGAGCTAATGAAGAATTGCGGAGCCCGGAAAAGCTGCAATTGAGTTAATTAGCCGAGCAGGGAACTTCAAGTAAATGGATACTGTCATGACGTTCAGGCAGTGGGACTTTTGGAAAAGGGAGCTCGTTGCAAGGTATTTATACTTATATTGCCTCTATGTCCTACTTAAGCAAATTGGATTTTATTCAAGGTAGTCATCGTACGAAACGCAGTGCACTGTCTTTCTTCATCTCAACTTTTTACATCGTGCTTCAAATTGCTTTTGCTCAATTGGAGAAGTTTTTGACTTATTTGCTACAATGAAAATAGTTATTTTTTTGTAAGCTCTTTCTATTAAGTTTTATTTTTTTCTTTTATTTCGATTTGAATGGCTTTTCAGTCGCACACTTATTAAATTTAGTTTTGTTTAAAGAAATTATACAATAACAGTTCAAAATAATTCCAAAATATCTTCAAAAATTCAACCATCCTAATGTTTTAATTAGCGATCTTCTACTGTACTTTTGCCTGTGTTCATACGGAAACTTGAAATCGTTCGAATGTCAAACAAACAAAAGAAATTCACTGGACAATATGAGAGAAAACGCTTGCGCCAATTTCGCTGTGCGAAGAAAGAATTGCCGAAAATCAAAAGGCACTTTTCCTTCGACATCCTTTGCTTTTTCGTCCTGGCACAAATAGAGAGAAACGACTTCTTGTTGTTTAATTTCAAACATGAACATTCGGCGGGATTCCCCGCTTTAAGTTCGTAGTAAGGTGGCTTTAATTTGGAAACGAATAAAATTTGTATGCGGAGCGGTGGAAACCACTGGATGACTCGCTGACTGAACTGTTTTCTATGTGTCCTCCGGTTTAGCTGCCACTTCTAGCGAAAAGGAAAAAATGTCAGCTGCAGCGTGACCAAGTCCGCGTCCACCAAACCAGCCGATGTCGAGTCATGCGATTGCAATATTTATGCAGTTTGTGCTGCGTTTGCTATATTTGACAGTTGCTCTTCCGCTAGGTTGTAAAAGACTGGGGCCACATCCTTTCGACGGGCTTTGCTGTGTAATGAGCCCAGCCGCACAGGAAACCATTTGATTCTGAACCAATTTGTGCCTATTGTATGAAAGACATTTCTAATGGAACATTTTCACTGAAAAAATTACAAAGTCTGAAAGATTAATTCGTTGAAGTTGTTCCTTTGAAAAGTCTACAATTTTGCTTTTAAAACTTATTTAATTATGCTAAGAATCTCTTTATTAACATATTCCTATTTCTTAAAATTGCGATGAGTAGTATTTCTTAAAAGCATAGGAAAAAACAGCTTAAGGATACAATCAAGCTTAGTATATTTTATAAAGTTATCAATTAATAACAAAAGCACACATTTTAATAACTTTATTTTAAGCTCTGATATCTAATAACATATTGAAAAAGTATTTAAAAAAAAGTCAAGTTAAACTTTCCAGAAAGCCATTTCGAAAGCCCCAAACTTGGCTTCAAAGTGGCATACTTCTTAAAATTTGTGAATCGATTATTGAATAATCAGACTTATTTAATTTTGTTTAATAATATTGTGTTTAATATATTCCACACTACCTTTTCTCTCATCTTCAGTTATTTTTATTGACCATTTCGCCGCACTGGCAAGTGCATTAAAGCTTCGTTGTGGTGGAGCGTAATTGTTATTGCTCAATTTTTTCCTGCGCATTTCAGCGGTTTTCGGCTCTAGGAAGTTGCTTGCTTAGTCGGGCATGCAACAAGGACGACAAGGAGGCGGGGTGACAAGGAGGGGGAGGGAGGAGGGAGGTGGTGGCCAGGACGATGCTGCAGCAGGTGGCGCGTGCGTTTGCGTTTGCTCGAACGGCAATTGCATTATCAGTAAATTATATCTGCGGCGGGCTGTTGCCCCCCATTTGCCGACTTTTCCCAGCGCCGACATGTTGGCCATGTTTACGGGTTGCCTGCGGCCATGTTTGCCATGGCCTGCTCCTGCTTTTCCTCCGGTATTGCCCCCCCCACCCGCGCCCCTTCATTGTTGGACGGAGGGGTTGTTGTTGCCGCTTGTTTGTGTACCATTTTCGGCGCTTTCCTGCTGATTTATGCAAAACTGTGGCATTTTTCAATTGCATTTTACACTCGTCCTGCAAGTTTCGCCACCAGCTCCGGATCCTGCAGGCTCCGTGCTTCAGGACTCCGGGGTCCTGTTTCCTTTCGCTTGTTTGTGTTGTACAATTTTCACACATTTGTGCAACTTTGCCACCGAAATGCGCAACACATTTGCCCCGTCGCATTGTGGCTGTTCCATCTGGAGGAGAACCATCTTCACAGGACCCGCCTGCCACGCCCCTTGGAAGCACACGCCCCCACCCCCTCGACTGCAGTCAACTGCATTTTATTGCCAGAGATGTGAGTGTGTGTTAGGGATCCGTGTATCCACGATATCCACGCTTGGGTTTGCGCATTTAATGCCAAGTTATAACTTTCACGTGGGTTGCTTTAGTAGTTTTCACCCAACCCAGTTGTTGCCCCGTGCCCCAAAGTATTGCCCTCGTGAGTAACGTGGCTCCATAAAAATCTCCTGGCGGGAAGTAAAGTGTCACTTATGCATAGAAGATTTGCGATGCATTTTTCAATGTTTAATAAACATAATTTCAGAGCAGTTTATCATGTGACAGCGCATAAAAGCTGCTGTGTTTACAGCCATTTGTTTATGGCTCGCTAAAAAGGCTGATTGGTCTGGAAAATAGATTGGAAAGGACATGGTAATTTAAATCAGAAAAAATATGGTTCATTGTTCGTCTTAATGGCTGACATTGATTGTCTTTTGTTATTGTTTCTCAATACAATTGAGTCTTTGTCTCATTTACAAATTCATGCTTAAGAAAATCATTTTTATTTCACAGTAAAAAATTAAACTTGAACTATTTCCTTCAGACTTTTCGCAAATTGTGTTCTTAGTTTTGCAACTTGTCAAAAAAAATTGTTCCAAAAAATCAAGATTAAATTTTGTAAGCCCCTTTATGAAAATGAAGAAAAATCGACCCAAAATTACAAACCAATCTGAAAATACAGTTTATTAGAGAATTAAACCACGATCATTTAGAAGTATGCCACTTAGCAATCGGATGTCTGCAAGAAAAGTTATGGGCTTTGAAGTGCAGTTTTTGGACAATATTCTGCAAAGCCATTTTTCGGAAATTTGGAAAGGGGTTAGCATTATGAAAATGACCAAAAATCGACCCAAAATTACAAACCAAGCTGAGTATACAGTTTTTTAGAGAATTAAACCACGATCATTTAGAAGTATGCCACTTAGAAATCGGATGTCTGCAAGAAAAGTTATGGGCTTAGAAGTGCAGTTTTTGGACAATATTCTGCAAAGCCATTTTTCAGAAATTTGGAATTATGAAAATGACCAAAAATCGACCAAAAATAACAAACCAAACTGAGTATACAGTTTTTTAGATAATTAAACCACGATCATTTAGAAGTATGCCACTTAGCAATCGGATGTCTGCAAGAAAAGTTATGGGCTTAGAAGTTCAGTTTTTGGACAATATTCTGCAAAGCCATTTTTCGGAAATTTGGAAAGGGGTTAGCATTATGAAAATGACCAAAAATCGACCAAAAATTACAAACTAAACTGAGTATACAGTTTTTTAGAGAATTAAACCACGATCATTTAGAAGTATGCCACTTAGAAATCGGATGTCTGCAAGAAAAGTTATGGGCTTAGAAGTGCAGTTTTTGGACAATATTCTGCAAAGCCATTTTTCAGAAATTTGGAATTATGAAAATGACCAAAAATCGACCAAAAATAACAAACCAAACTGAGTATACAGTTTTTTAGATAATTAAACCACGATCATTTAGAAGTATGCCACTTAGCAATCGGATGTCTGCAAGAAAAGTTATGGGCTTAGAAGTGCAGTTTTTGGACAATATTCTGCAAAGCTATTTTTCGGAAATTTGGAAAGGGGTTAGCATTATGAAAATGACCAAAAATCGACCAAAAATTACAAACTAAACTGAGTATACAGTTTTTTAGAGAATTAAACCACGATCATTTAGAAGTATGCCACTTAGCAATCGGATGTCTGCAAGAAAAGCTATGGGCTTAAAAGTGCAGTCTTTGACATTTTTTTGCAAAATACATTTTTTGAAAATTAGGATCGTTTTTTGGCTAAGCTATTAGAATATTTTTTTATGACTATTTTGAATATTTTTTTTTGGTCAGAAAATCAAAAATTTATATTTATCACTTTCCTGATGAGAAAACAATTGATTGACCAATTTTCCCACTTTTTAATTGTTTCAACAACCCTCGCTATTTAATGAACTCTGATTTTGAAGCATCAATTTTCCAGCTAATTGCCAAAATAAGCAAAATTATGTGACAGGCCATAAACGCATCGACCAGTTTTTCAATGGCAACCGAAATTATGCACTTTGACAGGGAACGCATTTAATGTTAATCATACGCACTGTTGCCTGGCAGTTGAATCCTGTTTGCTAATTTAATATTCGCAAACGAATGCACAGGAAAAGTGAGCAGAGCGAACGCAGATGCAGTTATATGCAGAAATATTCACACCAAATAATTAAATATATTTAAATTGTGAATGAGGGGAAATCCGATTTAGGTGGCATTTTCAACAAACAAATTTATTGGCGCATAATTCAAGGCGGCGATGATGCCGCTGACGATGATGCATGGCGGGGGCAGGAAGCAGGCCAAGATATGAATGGATGCAGCTGGCAATTTATGGCAACTGGGGGGCTTGCAGTGGGTGGTTGCGGCCAAGGCCGTTTGCCGCTTGCCGTGACTGCCAAAAGCAGCTAGCAAAAGAAAACGCCAGCCGCAGCCATGACGATGGCAGAGCGGAAACGGAAATGGAAATGCGCAAATACAATTGTCACACACACACACACACACTCGCAGAAGCAGCAGCAGGGTGAAATTTTAATGGAAAATTGGTGTACTCGTCGTGGCAATAAATGAAGCTCGCATTTCTATACGCTCGGCTAATAAAAGGCCCGGCTCGCCGGAGTGACAGCCAACAAGGGACTGGACAACAAGGCCCAAAACACTGAAGGGGCAGGCCAAGGGGCCTCATGACCCCCTTAACCCCACCCCCTTTCCACACCCCTGTCGACAGTTGCGCTGAGTGATGAGCCCTGCTAACAGGGTTTTTCGATAGGGGCCCCGATATTGAGACCCAGGTACGCAAATCAATTTGTTAAGTCTTCCCCCGAGCGAGAGGGCGGCGAATATCCTTCAAAGGAGCACCCCTGCTGGACTCCTTCGCCTCCTTGCTGCTCCATCTTTGTGCCTACCGCTTAATCTTTCAATTTGCATATAACATAATAGCCTAAGTGGGCAGGCCAAGCTGGGGGATTGGCCTGTCACTTAGAAAAAATACCTTAAATGATTTATTTAACTTTAATAATCAACATTATTTATTACTAAAACAAAAGTCCTAGAACATATTGAAATCCATGGATTCGCCTTTTGTATATAAATATTTAAATGTTTACTAAGTTAACTTGAGATAAATCCTTTGAAAACATGACATCTATTAAAGACGGAATACCTTTATTAGTGTTTAAAGTTCCAAGTTTATTTTATGAATTTTTAAAAATATAACTTAAAACATTTTGTTTAATAATGCTTACATATATAACTCTTAACCTCTTCTTAAAATAAGTTTTCCCAACGATTATAGGTTCACTCTTGCAATAACTGAATAACACATTCTGATATTTTTGTAGACCTTTACTTTTTATAATTATTAATAGTTTAAAACCCATTTCTTGTAGTGCACTCTAGCAGATATGACCTGAACATCGAGGCAATGCTTTATGGTCACTTGAACGCAAATCGCACTGCTGGAGGGCTTGAAGGGGACTCCCAGGACTGGTGGAAAGGGGAGCACAGGAATGGAGGGACGCGGAGGTGGCCACAGGCAAACACTTGACGTGCGCTTATGCAGCACCGAGTTGCGCATACGCCGTGTGGGCCGTACCGCTTATTGAATATGCTGATGCAGGTGGAACTATATAGCCATGGCTACAAGAGCAGCCGACTCCATGTTGATATATGTCACACAGACTGGCAAAATAAACTGCACCAAAGGGGCGCAGCGTGTGTGTGTGTGGGGCGTGGCCCGGCCCACTTACTGGCCATCGATGATAGGCGTTGATACAGTTGCTGTAACAGGATTAGCTCCGGATTTGGCTTAGGCGACCGGGCTCCATGTTTGCCCGACAACTAATGGACGGGTGAGGGGCCGGAGTGCGGGATGCGGGATCGGGGACTCCAAACATTATGCAAGACAAATCCGTAACGAGAGCTGCAAGTTAATGGGACGACCTCAATGAAATAGCTCAACTGCATTGCCGGCCACTGCGCCAGTCAAATATTATTCGTTGTGGCCCCCAAATAAAATGCAATTATTGTCCATCTATCAAATGGCCGGCTGTGTGTGTGTGTGTGTGGGCTGGTTGTTGGCTTTTAATTGGGTTGGTTGGGCCAGTCTGTTAACTATTGGCACTGACTGTATGCCCCTCACTTGGACATGCAAATGGAAACTCTCTTAGCCGGATTACTGAGCCTACGAAAAAGATTGCCTTCTAAATTCAACTAAAACCAATAGATTGCTTCACAAATTCGGTACAGAACAGAGAATTTCATTTTTCCCTTCGATGTAAATTGATTTCTGAAACTGATAAGCATTTTTAGCTAAATTCTTTTTCCCGCCCTATTTTTTCGGGTACTTTTCATTATGGTTAAGAACCTGCAATTAACAACTTTTAGTCCAATGAAAGTGAAAAGGTAACCCCAATTAAAAAGGAAAGGAGAAAGGAGGATGGCCGATGAATTGAAAGTTTTGCCGCATAACAATTAATTAAATTTGTAGTCCCTGCCTTTGCGTAGTTTGTTGTGCAACACACAAAATATTGAATGTCAAACAATGGTCTGAATGGAATATTCCAACTGTAATTGAGTCCTGTGTAATTAGAGCGGGACGGCTAGAGACGAAGTCAGGTGGGTGGAAAGGACCTTGACTGATGGGCGGAACGGGCAGAAATGTTGAGGTGGAAGTGTACACGCAGACGTAAGCATAAAAACAATTAAAACTTTCGCCAAAGTCAAAGACATAACTTGGCAACAGTACACTGGGGAAAAATTGGTTGTTATAGACTTTACATATTATGCAATTGAAGATTGATATGTTTATTATTTATTTAATTGGCAAAGACAAACAATGAACTATTAGTGGAAATTTAGAGGTGTCTGTTTTGAGCTCAAAATAGGTAATAATATTTAAGAAACAAATTGGAAGATCTATATCATAGTTTTATATACAAACCTTGAAGACAGCCTTTTAATCATCAGTTAATTATTTTAAACTTTAAAACGATTTCATCCCAGTGCACAGCGGAAGGCTCCTCACCTGCAACTAGTTTTCCTCGGTGGCTATATAAGCGTAGCTCCACATTGCTCCTGACACTCGCCCGGAGCAGGTGACCACTCAACTTGCGACAGGAGCCATCGATAGTATCCACTTGAATTCATCGCTGGAATGATTGACAGCGGGGAGGAGCCTGCGATTGCTGGCCACTTCTTCCGCATTCCCCGCATCTCCGGCCGCATTGTGGGCATCTGGCCGCAAAGGATCAGGGGCGGGGACGGGGACGGGGGCGGTCGTCCTTGGCACGCCCACCTGCTCTTCGTGTTCGCCTTGGTCGTGGTGCTGGTGGGGGCGGTGGGCGAGCTGAGCTACGGCTGTGTCCACCTGGACAACCTGGTGGTGGCTCTGGAGGCCTTCTGCCCCGGCACCACCAAGGCGGTCTGTGTTTTGAAGCTGTGGGTCTTCTTCCGCTCCAATCGCCAGTGGGCGGAGCTGGTCCATCGCCTAAGGACCATGTTGTGGCAATCGCGGCGGGCGGAGGGCCAGCGGATGCTGGTCGGACTGGCCACCACGGCCAACAGATTGAGCCTGTTGCTCCTCAGTTCCGGCACCATGACCAACCTCGCCTTCAACCTGCAACCGCTGATTATGGGCTTTTATCGGTGGATGTTCGAGCTGTCGGGCCAAATCGAGCTGCCATTTAATATTATGTGAGTACATTTGACTAAGACTTATAATATCATTAATTTTAATTGCATTAGGCATTTGCTTTCGTTTGTGTGCTATTTATGGGCAAAAAATAGTTTAAGTATATAACAATTACAAAAGCTTTAGATTTCTCCCTAATATTTATTTTTCCTTTGTTTTTTGAAAGGATTTTTTATAAAATAGAACCCCCTCTCCCTTTGTTATAATTGATACTTATACTGATTATTGTCACAAATATCTTAATGGCTAATTTATGCAACATTGTATCCCTTTTTTTATTGGTTTCCACTTAACTCATAGTAATAGTTATTTTGGTATGTCTATTCCTATAAAATGTTGATTTTCTATTTAACGTAAAAGTATATTTTTAAAAATAAATGTGGATCACAAACGTGTTTCACCTCAGTTACTTACTATTTTCTCAAACCCATTATTATAAAGTAAAAGCGTTGAAATAAAGAAATAAGATACTTATGAGAAAGTTTGTAAAATAAAATTTTATGTATGCACAAAAATAAACTACATTATGCCTTAACATCCAAGCTTACGGCTTTCATAAAGTCAATTTATGGCTTCTTATTTAAGATGGAAATCCTTTAACCAATTTGGTTAATGAGGAGGAGGGGCAAGTGCATAAGAAGTGAGTGCACTTGCGCCCTCCAGACGCAATTAAGAGCAGCACATCGAATATTAATCTCGGCTGCTCCTTGAAATGCCCCCCCCTTTGAACAGCCTGCCTGCCTTTGCCGTCCAGCCAGGAGTGTTTCCTGCGACCTACGTGCTGCTGACCGCTTCCGGAGCTTGTACCGTGTTCGTCTTCAGCTTCGTGGACGGCTTCTTCCTGTGCTCCTGCCTCTACATCTGCGGCGTTTTCCGGCTGGTGCAGCAGGACATTCGCAGGATATTTGCCGATTTGCATGGCGGTGAGTCTTGCGTCTGCTGCAGCTGCAAGATGACAATGGTCGTCCTCGCCCCCCTTCCAATAACTTTTCTTTACTTTCAGATTCAGTAGATGTTTTCACGGAGGCCATGAATGCGGAAGTGAGGGACAGACTGGCCAAAGTCGTCGAGCGGCACAATGCGATTATCGATTTCTGCACGGACCTAACACGCCAGTTCACCGTTATCGTTTTAATGCATTTCCTGTCCGCCGCTTTCGTCCTTTGCTCGACCATCCTGGACATCATGTTGGTAAGCCCTTGCAGTGGCGTTTTTGGGCCAGTTTTTCAAGGGACACACAATTCCTCTTAATAATTTGTATTTCATACTAGGCTTTTTTAATTAGAAGAACCATTCAAACAAATTGATTCTTAAGAGAAGTGGGCGTGCTAAATTACGTTTGTATTTTAGGAAATTTAAATTACTGAAGTTTGTTCCGAAAAATAGTTATTTGTATTAAAATCCAACCATATCTGAGATATTTCAAAATTTGGAAATGTTAGGATCATAACTATAACCTTAAACTAATCAGCAAACTATATAAATGTAACCCCCCTTCAAACATTTTTCTACGATCGCCTCTGAATTTTCCTCTCGCCTGCATTCGGCGGCAGTTTTAAAAGTTTTTCCTTGTTTTCCCTGTTTGCCGTTCTCCCCAGCCGCTTCGTTCCGATTCACTTTTCCCGATTTGTTTGTTTGCTTTGTGGCTGCGGCTGTGGCTCTCCGGTGGCAATTTATAAGCGCATGAATTGTTACTGCTCCCGAAAAAAGTTTTTAATGCGACTTTCGCACGTTTTCCGGTGTCCCGGACATTGGAGACCGAAGACCCATAAGCTGTTTGCTGCAACTGCCGAGCGGCGAAAATGTTTGGGAAAAGGCTCCTGGCTTTTGGCCCCAATGGGATAAACGCTGCCAGCACTTTCTTCGCCTTTCTCCGCTTCTTATTCGGCCCAAAGTGTTGAGTAATCCATTCGAAACTTGTTTATCGCTCGGGGGTCCTGTGGCCAGCGATCTATTATCACTTTTTAACTGTACTTCAGGGGAGAATGTGAGGGAACCTATGTGGCACAAGGAGTTTCGACACGTGCTTGAACCAAAAACTTTAGAAAGTTTTTCATTCCTTTCTACAGTTTTTTTAACAGAGGTTTTAGAACGGAATTAAATGCTGATATGACAATATTTTTAGAACTTAATAAAATATCATATGAGGTAAAAAATCAGTAAAATACACTGAAAAGCTTGGCAAGCCATATAACTACTCTAAATAATCAATATAATATAACTATATAATTTACCAAACCAAATTTAGTGTTTATCTTAAAATGTAAATCTCTTGTTTGGCTGTTCATCCTTGAACTAAATATTTTTCCCGACCTTAAATTGACCAGAAAGAGAAAAGGCCAACAAATAGCAAGAGGAAATTCCAAAAGAGCAAAAACAAATGCAATTTATTGTTGGCAAATCCAATTGGGTACTTGCAAAATCGAGAATTCTCACAGTTTTATGCAGTCGACGACATGCATAAGTCGCATAATTCTTTTTCAATGCCACAATGGAAATGTCAGGCGAGTGGAAAATGGCAGTGAGAGGAAAAGCAATCAGACCGCAGCCGCAAGTAGCCCAAGACCATTTGGCAAAGTACATTGCTTTGATGTTTTCCATTTCGCAACTACTTCAAACTCTCGCACACTATATATATAGTATATAGTATAAGGCATATTAAATAATCCCCTGCAGTTTTTCACCACAAGCAATTTCCCTTCAATTAATGACATCTCTTATCCTGCTCTCCTTTATTTTCATTCCGGCTCTCTATATCTTCTGTCTCCGTAGAACACGTCGTCGCTGAGCGGCTTAACCTACATCTGCTATAGCATCGCGGCCCTAACGCAGCTATTCCTCTACTGCTTCGGCGGCAATCACGTTAGCGAAAGTGTGAGTACGACTCCTGACCACTTTCCCCCTTCACCCTCCCCCTCCCGCATTCCCCCCTTCCCTTCACACTGGCGCAGCCCATTTTCATTTTATTTCCATCATTCATTCGGCTTAAGATACCCGGCGGAGTGGTTGTCATAGATTTGAATTAGATCTTGAATTCTAGACGAGCTGAGTACTTTTATGATTGCAAACATATATTTTAAATTAATGTCTTTCAGTTATTTTAGGATCTTTTGAAACATTTTGTATATTTCCCAACTGGCAAATCAATAAATTACAAATTATAAAATGTAGATTTAGATAATTTAATGACAGGAAACAATTATTGTTATTAAATTGATCAGCTAAGTTCTGAAAACTAATAATTTTAATAATTAAATGGGTATATTTATATTCTTTATTTTAAAGTTATTATCTTAACTGAGCAGAGATTTATATAGAGATTTTATATTCATAAATAAATATAAAAACCTCTAACAATTGAAATAGTAGTCCGCAGAGTATAGCATTATTCAGGTTCTCCTTCCTTTCTTTCCCCCACTTTCCTGTTATTAGAACTTTCCTCGTGTTTTTTTTTGCAATTCCTGTAATTTCAATTTGACGCTAAACATTAAGCAGCCAGGCGGGCACATAAAAAATGATGTGCCATTCACAAATTGCACTTGTGATAAAATTTTAATTACACAACAAAGTGGAGGGGGTGGTGGCTGCCCCACCCAGATTCAGTTCCAGATTCCGAATCATAACCCATGCCACCGACTTTTTGCAGAGTGCTGCTGTGGCGGACGTGCTGTACGACACTGAATGGTACAAATGCGATGCGAGGACTAGGAAAGTGATTTTAATGATATTGCGGCGTTCGCAGCGGGCAAAAACAATTGCGGTTCCGTTTTTTACGCCCTCACTGCCAGCTTTTGGTTCTGTATGGGATGCGATGCGATGCGTTGATTATGATAATAAATGTTTATGTTTCCGCTCCTTTCTCTGCCATTTCAGATACTCAGCACAGCCGGCTCATATATCACGCTGCTGAAGACGTTTCTGTAAGCCTACGCGGCGTATGATTGATATACCGGATTGGATTTTGTCCTTCGCTGTTTGTTTAAATTAAAACCTGCAACCGAACGGACATTAAATTGCCTGTGAATGAATGTAAGGGCGGTGGTCGTTGGTCGGTGGTGGGAAAAGAGCAACAAGTGCCGCCTGTCCTGGCCGTAATTGTTTCATTTAAATATTGCGGATTCCAACTAATGAAAAACACTTGCGGCTATGGGCACATTAATTGGGTCAGCGGTGGGAAACGAGGAGGATTGGGGATGGATGGGAGTGGGAATGGGGTTGCTCCACGGCGGAGACAGTAATGGCGTTTTTACGGCGCCATCTTGAGGTCTGTGGAGCTGTTTTGTTATAACAATATTTTCGTTATTCTTTTCTCTGCCAGCGCAGCGCAAATATCAATTATAATTTGTGAAATTCGAGACTGTTATGGTCGGTGAAGCCGCCGCAAATGGTTGCCAGTGCTCCTCGGTGGAAATTAGTGCGGTTTTACATGGATTTTATTCTTAAAGACTCCACGGAAAATGATGAAAATGGTCCAGTTGGGTATTCAGCAAAAACCATAAAAGCTGATTGGTAATTCAAACTACAAACCTTAACAAAAAATACTCGTTAGGAAAAAGATGTATGGATGTTTGAAAAATATTTTTAATCAATGGTTTTATCATTTAAATCCAGTACTTTTTGATGTTATTTTCTCCAATGTAATATGAAATGAAAAAAAAGGGTTCAAGATCTCAGCTACAAAATGTATTTAATAAAAAGCTGACATTTAATAGCTATTTATTTGAATAAATAATAAAATGATATGCATTTAGGTTAAATATATTTGTTTTGCCATAGTAATGCCATGAATAAATGCATTTAAGCAAATATATTCGCCATTTGATTTGTTCTTTGATAACTGCATTTGCATTTCAGTTTTATTTGGCCCGATTGCTTCCCTTTTCAAAGGGATTTTCACTTATTTGCCAATTTTGCGAACTAATTGAGTTGGAAGTTGTGCATTCGCTAGGTACTCACCGCATTTCTGTAAGATATTAAAAGTTTCCCGCCGCACGAAATGAAAAGCGAACTCGTGGTTTCGTTTCAGATTTATTGTTGAAAGAGTTCATTTCATTGATTTATTCATTGGGTTTGTCATCACATAAATTATCTAAAATCTTCTTACTGGCTTACGTGTAGTAAATTCATGCCTACCCATAGTATTACTCGCATGTGCAACACAAAACTTAGTCGGGCATGCCGCAATTGATTTAGTTTCGCAATTTGCCATTCGCTTTCACATATTGCTTTCACATTTATTTCATTCAATTTCCATTCCCATTACGACGTCGAGTGCCGCGTGACTAAATTTCATTTTGCCCATAAATAAATTCCATACAAGTTAGTGTTTATAATTAAGTTTTTTGCTTTTAGTTTATCAGATGAGAGTTTTTCGTTCAAATATATTACAATTTTCGGGTAGTAGTACGGGTCGTGGGTGACTGTGACTGCGGTGTGCGTACTTATGTGGGTGAGTGTGTGGGGGCTCCCTTTTCTTATTATATTTTCCTTTCTTTTTGGTTAGCTTGGCTCTCTGTTAAGACAGCATGAAATGTTGATAAAGTCGATGTGTGTGCGTGTCCTTTGTGTGGACCGCAGTAATGAAATAAAATACACACTTTTGTGTTTGTAGGTATATCTGTAAGCTGCGCCGCATCTTTGTGGTATTTACAGAGAGTGTCATCCGTCTGCTCCTTCGCTTTTCGTCCTTCGTCCTTCCTCCGGCCTTTGCATTTCACATTCTGCATTTTGCATTGCCGTGCCCGGCTCAGTGTCTCATTTTGCACAATGAAATGTAAATATTAAAAGGAAAACAAACATTCGCCTGAAAGCGAAAGCGACTGTGTTGTTTGCCTTTCCCATTTTCCCCCTTTCCCTTGCCCCGTTTTCCATTCCAGAGTTCTAACAAAACAGCGCACTGAAAAAATGCCAACGTCATGGAACATAATTTTCTCGTTCTGCTGCAATTAGAGTGCTAACAACGACGACGTCGCCGATGATGATGATGGTGACTACTTTCGGTTTCAGTTGCCAGCAGCCAATACCGCTCGCAACAACAACTCCAGCAGCCAGAACAGCTGGAGCGGACCGGGGGCACGAGGACACGCCCCGCTCTTCTGCATCGCAGCGGGATTCTCATCTGGGGGAGACAAACAGCGGCATAATGAACATGTGTATTCAAATTTCGCCGAGGCCAAAGCCCCATTAACTATGCCAGGGCAAATAACTTAATTTAATTGTGACCTACACAGAAAATAAAAATGTCACTGTTATATTTGCCATCAAGCTATATAAGTGTTTTAAATATTTTGCATAATAAATGCTTTTAAGATAAATTGAAATGGTTGATTTTATGATAGAACTTTCCGGCGAATTTAAATTCAAATGCACAAAAATCGCTTCGGTTGGGATGTTTATATAATATACATGATTTTAAAATATTTGTGTACTGCTCTTCTGTGTTACCCCCATCGAACCTATGCTAACTTTAAAATTTGACTACTGATTGACTATTTTTAAGCATTTAAAAGCAGAGACTATTATTATTTTATATATATTTATATTTAATTAAGGTTTTACCTTATTGTGAATATCCGATTTTTCACAATGTAACACTGGCTCTGACTTTGAAGTGAGGTTTGCTAAATGTAAGAGGAGAAGGAGGGTTGTTTGTCCCGACTAGATAAATGACATATGTGTGTCTGCGTATACGCAATATTTCTGCGGCCTTTCTCGCCCGAGCAAATGTTATTCCAGGCGCATCATTTGTCAATGCTTTGTTTTGACTCGTCACAAAGGATACGTATGGAGGATGGGGATCACCCTCCACGCACTGATTTTTAAGGACCCCGGAGTTGTGGGTGAGCGAAATGAATAATGGGTGGAATATGCTCTGCGAAGGAAGTGTATCCGGGGGTCTATAAATAAGCTGCGAAATTGGATTTCCATTTCTGTTAAATCATTTTTTATCACCACCAAAACGAGTGGGAATTCGTTGAAATAATTCCAAGCTTTAACTGCCCAACTTTTACTTCTTATAAATTTTATATTTCACAGACCACTTTTGGTTTTAAATTTAATTGAATTCGATATAGATCGATTTAACTATGACTCTGAAATCACTTTAGCTTTGCTAATAGAAAGGAAGAGATTTGTAGATAATTAAATATTTAAATAATTACATAATTTTGCACTTCAATAACTTGATAGCTGGCAACAAAGGGGAAAAGTCTAAGCCCCATACTAATTCATTTGATTAAATCACCAGAAATGTTTTGCATAATTCATCATATGAAAGACTGACTAGAGTTCCCAGTAGAGCATCTCCCAGGTCGCCTCTACCTCGCCTAGACCAACACTTTGCTCTTATCATTTTTCTTAAAATTTTATTGCCTTTGATTTATTATCTGTATTTATGCCAGCCATCACTGTCCCGGTCGCAGTCGCAGTAACTCCTCTTTCCCGACTTGTCTGCTATCTGGGCTCCCATTGCCCCACCAACTGGCGGCCTTTATGCCACATGTGGGGCATGATTAAGTGCCTTTTTGCAACTTACTTCTGACATTTAATCATATTTATTACGGCTTTGCATTGCAGAGTGAAGTGGCGGCGGGTCCAGGCTGCTTCTCTTTAAAATGCAAATTCCTGTCCGTACAACAATTTCATTTGAATAAACAACTTAACAACCTAAGTGCTGGACATTTCGCTTAACATTTGATACTGCATAAAAACTAGGACTACGACCGAAATTACTCTGCCTTCAATTTGCTGCGAATGTCCTGCCATAAAAGGCCATAAAAAACAGTGGAAATTGCTGGACAAAAGACGCGTCAAGTTTATGCCCCTCATTTCGCAGCTTAAAATGTCTTAATTCCCGTCTAATTTATGTGTAAAATATGCAAAGCCAAGTCAGTGAGTTGTGCTCCTCCAGCCGCATTACTCATACGCCAAGGAGGCCAGGGCGCAGGACTCCCAAACAAACAGTCGTCGCAATGATGGAGTGAGGCGAAAACTTTTAGTTTTTAGGCCGTGTCTGTGAATGAATGGCGTTGGAAACAGTGCTGGCCATAAAATTATTCACTTTACTGGCACAGCGATGGGGCTGGGCTTAATGATAGTTGGCTTTTGGGAGTTAAGTTCTCCTCGGGAAGCCCTTTTCTTTGGAGCTGGGACAACAACTTCTAGCTGCCAGTGTAACTGATAGGCTTATGCCGAGCTGGCAGCACCTGAGACGAAAGTCAGAGGCTGTCTACACTTAAACAAATAGTTTATATTGTTTTTATACCAAAGAGGATTTAATAGCAAATAAAATGGATACTTTGTTGGCAATGATATTTAAACTATTATATGTGTTTTTAAAGCATTATATTTTGTCTTTCAATATTTATGGATTTCAGATAAGATATAAATTAAATATCCCTTATAAAATAACTGCTTATTATTAAGCTTTAATTGGAATCTCCTTAAAGTGAAAATTTTGTATCTTTATTTAATTATATTTTACTTTATTAAAGAGTAATGAAAAGTAATGAAAAAACGAAATTTTTTTTGAGTGGTAAGCTGAACCAACTTTTTCCTGAGTGTAGGCCACATTCGCTTACTCTCCCCAGACTTACCATTAATCACATGGACCAGGACACTGGCGCTGCTGGCCGTCGTTGGCTGACACGTGTAGTTGCCGGTGTCCGTGGTCTGGGCATTCGAGATGCGGAGCCTGCAGAGGATTAAGGAGGACACACTGAAAACAACTCAATTAGGGTCGTGGTCGGCGGCACACCCACCTGGACTTGAGGGTATCGCCCAGCTGCGATTCCATGGCGATGCGGGTGGCGAACTCCTTCTGCAGGTCCACCTCGCTCATTACGTCATTCAGGGATGCGTCCTCGGGGATCCTGCCATTGGACTTCTGCCTGCTAACCGGCACTTCTGGCTGGCCATCGTCCGCGTCGAAGGGTGTGATCATGTGCTCGCCGCGATACCAGTAAATCGGACCGATGTCCTTCACCGACGGCTGCTGCACCAGACAGTTGAGGATTATGGCACTGCCCGCCTTGAAGTGCAAATCGGGCGGACCACTGATAACCGCCTTGGCATCCGGCGAAATTTCTGCAAAAACAAGCCACAAATGAATTGAAAACATGCATTCTAGGTGGGCGACCAAAATCAATTTGGGGCAATCGCTCGTAAAACGAATTCGCAACCAACTGACTGCACATAAAAACTTTTAATCATAAAACTTTATGGAATAACTTTTCAATTGCACTAAATTTAAGTAAGCCCGGTAAAAAGGCTGAGGATGAGGCTGAATTGAGGGGGAGTTGGTGGCAAAATCACACCACACACACGTAAATAAACTTATATGACTGGGTGTGGGCACATCCATATGGAGAGTAGTCATACACGCGGCTGCTGGGAAACTGGGTTAATAATAATATTTATTATGCATTGGACTGTGCAAATAATAATAATTAAAAAATATACCCAAAAACAGGAGACACGCGTGGCCGAAATGAAATAAAAACTCAGCAGCGGCACTGTGGGTTTTACAGCACTTATTTTTTTGGGTCACAGGAATTTGTTGAGGGATTGAGGATCTTACAGATTAACTATATTTTTTATATTTATACATATTAAGCTAAGACCTGAGCAAATCATTTAGTGTCTAAGATTGTTTTTTAGGGTTTTAAGTCTAGTGTTTTGGGAAACCCAAAAGTAAGATCTTAAGTAATCATTGCTAAGATTTGTTATTTTCTTAATTTAACCCTGATGAGTTTTGTTTTTATTGCTAATATTTTAAGTATATCAAAGGCTATTTTCATAAAAAGATAATTTTTGGTTTATTCTTTCCCCTTCCTTCACCCAGTTTAACCCACTGTGGCCACCGGCGTTGTGTGGAGCAGCTCATAAAAGTGCATATGATGATGATTACATGGGTCGCAGCGTGCTCAGGGGTTACCCGTGTGGTGAGGGGAGGGGAGGGGGTTTCAGGGGTTAAAGCGTCTGCTACAGATCTCACTGCATTCCACGTGCCTCATCCCCATTTTCTCGCTGGCTTTTCTCCGTCTGTTTGTTTGCGTCTGTGGCATATGTGGAAAGTGTGAGTTTAAAAATCCCCATAGCGCCATTAAGTGCGTATGTATTTGTATCTGCTTCTGGCCCCCAGCCACGCCCCCTTTTTTCGAGAGTGTTTGTGTAGTGTCACTGCGTTAAAGGCAATTAACACCCGGCGGCGAGAGGGAAAGAGAAAATCCAGTAAGAGACAGAGACAGAGACAGGCAGCTGCAGCAACAATTTTTCCACTGCCTCTCACTGTTTTTCATTTCATTTCAGATTTTCATTTTTCCTTCATTTTTCAGCAGCTGTCGCTAAAGTTCTGCGTGCATTTTGTGTGGCGGCGCATGAAGTTTTTTAATTTAAATATTTCATGAAAATAAAATGCAATGCGCCTGCCAACACAACAACCAAATGAGTTGCAGGGCAAAACGTGGCTTTTCTCTAAGGTCAAATGGCTGTAATTACCAGTTAGGAGGTCGTGAAATTAGAATTGGAATCAAGGCAATAGCCATATTAAACGCTGGGAAAATCGTGATGAGATTTGAAAGCGAGCAGAAATGTGTGATATAAAAATGTTAAAAAACAGTTAAGCGAAATGCAGTGCAAGCATGGAAATCTTTGCATTTAATTCCCAAAATAAATATTTTAAGTACCGTAAGCAAACAAAAAATAAAATGTGAGGAAAATGGTAGCCTTTCAAAAATATTTCTTTAAATTCTGTGACCGACCGGCTGAACAATATTTGTGCGCAATGCGCAACTTCTGTCCTTTTCTGAAAGGATTAAACAATCAATTATGCCGCTAATTGCAGTTGAAATATGGTATATATTTTTTCTTAAATTATGCGTACATAAATACAACCTTTTAAATTGTCATCTTAGGGCATACTTTATGCATATTAATTTTTGATATTTTACGGATCCTTTGGTGAACGCACCGCCCAGGCAAAATTTATATCAGGCATAAATCTCTTTTCCGAAAAAAAACGAGAAAAATGCAAAACGTTGAGAGAAAAATAAAGTCGTTTGGTGGGACGCATAAATTTGCATAATGACATTAATTAAATGCAATGCACCGCAACAACGAGTGAAGGAGCCACAGAAACAGAAACAGGAGCAGGAAAATAAAAAATAAAAAATAACGAAGGGGAGCAAAGAGTTAAGCGCCTTGCGAAAGTCACTCATTCGACACGTATGCCGATAATGTTATTAAGGACGCAGCCAGTTTGCCAGGCTGTCACCACTGTCCACCGGCCACTGTCCACTCCTGTCATGCTCCTTTGGAAATTGTTTCATTAACGTAAATTAAAATGCATACGGCCATGAAGAAAATGTAATCGGAAATTCGTTTGTAAGCGTCGGAGCAGGAAATCAGAAAAGGGCGATGGACAAAAGGAAAATAAAGCAGTGACAGAAAGACAGAATAAAATGCATCGAGCCCAAGTGCATAATATGAAACTTAAAAACCATTGCCGACTGATTTGCATAAGTGGCTGACACCAGATGCCGACAGGTCCTGTCAGCAGCTCAGTTCGGAAATGTCCTTTACTACTCCTTAATCCCCCACCCGACACTCCATTTATCCACCGCCTTATCGAGCCAGTGATTTAAAGTCCAAGCAATTGCCATCTTAATGGCATTGCCTTAAACTCAAAAGTTGCTTGGCAGCCCATTAAAATCAATATGCAAATTGATTGTTTTTTAAACGGATTGAGATTGCGAACTGACGGCGATACAATGAGGCAATCAGGAGATCGAAGGAATTACATTATGTGCAGCTAAATTATTATTCAAAAGCGAAGGAAGGGGAGTTCATTTGCGCTATTTATCATAAGAACATTTATGGGGGTGGGATTAAAATGATGAGACGTGGGTAGCAGGGGGTTTTTATAAACAAACAAATAAAGAGAAAAAAAGAAAAGAACTGTAATTGTTTTATATACATATTCTTCAAGAAAAACAGATAATATCAATCATCTAAAATGGACTAACACTTTAAAGCCTTCAACTATTTCAATCTACTGGAGCAGCTGCATACCATTATGCCAATCCGTAATCATGCGATCATCAATTAATCATTACCGGTGGATTTCGAAGTCACCTATGCAAACAATAGACATTGTTTTCGATGGGACACAGGAAACCGGACGGGTGACACACTGCCAGCTAATTATATGCGGACACACGCATTATGCATGGCTCATTAAAGCGCTGAATACATTCCAATCGGTGCCCGTAATCCCGCCGGGTTGACATGCTAATTAACCCGGCTCCATTCGAGCCGAGGACCTGCGGCACAAAACCGGGGAAACCAGGATCCTCAACCTCGCTTTTTATTTGTTTATTTATTTATGGGCCGAAATGCGAAATTAAAAATGTATGCCTAGAGGCGGTCGAACTGAAACAAACCGAAAACCGGTCCCTTCAGATCGGATGAAATAATCATAATTGCGAAGAGCTCCACTGGAGCTGCCGAAAACCGAATTAACATTTTTAATAAACCCAGGGGCGACAAGGTAAAACAAATACAATAATCATCGCAGCCAAAAACGAAATTCATGCAGAGTGAAATACGTTTGAGATCCCATACTCACCGATGATGTTCAGCTGGAATGCCATCGACATTTTGGGCTCCGTGTTCACCTGGCACTCGTAGATGCCACTGTCCTTGGCCAGCGGGGATTTCACATGGAGAGTCCACTCCCTGGCATCCTTCGATTCGGTCACCTGCACGGCACAATTCACACAATTTCAGTTTCAATTTCACTCCACAGACTTTACAGATTTCAGTTTTCATTATTCAACTGGAAGTTTTTTAATTCAATTCGCCCTGTCAGTCTCGGCGGAATAATTATTCGCTTTTAAGGCAACAATTTGCAAGGCTGCAAATTTGAATTTCCATTCAATCGTGTTTTTATTTTTTCATGGAAATTAAGCAATTATACAATTGCTATTTGTTTGTTTGTTTGCCGGTTTGTTTGCAACTGCAGCACAGTGGGCACGAAAACGAGGACGAGAGGTGGAAGTGCGGAATCGTCCTGAGTTATGAGTTGGATTAGCCATTGAAATATCGTTTATACATGCATAATGAAAGTGGCTTTATAACCATAATTCCCCCTGAGAGCCGGAGTTAACTTTTACATGGTGCCTGATGTTGGGTGGAAAGTTTGTCGGGATTTGTTATGTTTTGCAGCTAATCTGTGGCTGAATCTGGGGATTTCATTTGGTTTATTGGTATAGATTTGCAGGTCGTTCACTTTTCAAAAAGTTGCTTTAAAATTAGGATGATAGATTGTTCTATAGCCCATGGATTATGCGGAAATATTCCTTTGACAAGGCTAGATATGGATAATTGATTGTTTTTTCAGGGAAATCTTTCATGGTTTTGAGTCTATACTTTTGTATTCTTTAATAAATATAAGTTTAAATTTACCATTAGTTGAGAACTCACATTTTAATATTTGATATACTTTTTTTTAATAATCATAAAATTATTACTCAGAAAATTCTTCAAACCTATTTATTATTTAAAGCACCAACTAAGTGTATTCCTTTTGACATTACCTGGGAATTAATCATTTTAAGCTACTCTTCAGTTTATAGAAGAGCCTGAAATCCATTCAGTTACAAGGATATAAGCCAACTTTGGCGTAAGGAAACCAACTTTTGTACCGGTCACATTCAATTTGTTAAGAGTCCCCTACTTTGCCGGTAAATGCCTTTCAGGATATTATTCCCTGTCTCCCAGTCAACCCGGTCAGATTGCCTCAACCCACTGTATGTGCTGACTTTGGGGCCCAGAGTTAACCATCGCATTCAATTAGTAAGGGAATACATGATGTCCCCGCCGAAATTGACCCACCTGGAATCGCTTGTCGGAGGTGTAGGTGGCGGTGCCTACGGTCAGGATATGCAGATCACGTTTCCGTATCCAGGATACCTGTTGAGCAGGGAAGAGGAGAGACAGAAAATTGATTAACGAGTGCGCATCCATATGATATATACTCGATGTCCTTGGCACGCATCTTCATCACTTTTCCCCCGAGAAACCGGAGGGGTTGATTCCAGGACTCACCGATTTATCATGCAGACTGTCCACGCGGCATTTAATTATGGCCTCCGTGTGGCCAGTGCGTCCGGTGATGTTGCGCGGCATGCCAAAGTCGAAAATTGGCAGCGACTGCGAGGAGTCCGCGTCCGAGTCCGCCACCCCCTCCCCCTCCCGATCCCTCTCCCGCGCGTCCTGGGCAAACAGATCGGAGCCAAAGGACGCGTCCAGGAAGGCTAAACTCTTGAAAGTGTGATTCGTGGCTTCCGTTTGTGGCCCATTCGCCGCCGCAAACGACGAGGACGAGGACCAGGATGGGGATGGGGATGATGCCGCTGATGGCGACGGTGATGATGACAGGAATGTCGACAGGGTTGGACCATCACTGGAGTCATCCGGTTGCCCAGCGAAGGCAGCCACAGCACCAAGTCCTGGAAAAACACAAAAGAAGAGGGTGAGCAGGCGTCAAGGAAACGGAAAAAGGATGAAATGCACTCTGAAAATTTGTATTTATCTATGTTCTTTAAAAGTTTATTAATATTAGTATTAAAGAATTATAAAAATGCCATTGTTAACCAATATTAATTGCCATATTATCTCCTTTATTTTAATTGGTTATTGCCTTCTTTCCTTTATTTTTGTAAAATAAAAACCAGGAGACTTTAAAGGGAAATTGTATTGACAGACATTTGCAAAAAAAGAAACAAATAAATGAAATTGTTGGCTTAACTTTAAAATAAGGCTTTCAATCTATGTCCTATTTCTTAAGTTTCAGTTACAACACTTTTCTGAATAAATATTTCTTAAAATAATGTTATTTTCTTGCCAAAAACATTAAACTAACTTTATTTTCCTTGTGTAAGGAGTATGGTGCCTTGCTGTTCGGCTTCTTTTCCTTGTTGGCCAAATGAATTTATAACTCGGTCGGCTTCCCCCTTCCCTGTGGCCATTCATCTTGCTGGGTCTTTTGATTTGATTTGTAACCACTTTCGCCACAACTTTTTGCTTCCCCTCGCCGACCACAAAGTAACTTCAATTCAATTCACTTCCATCCTTCCTTTCCGCCCGCCACTCGCAGAATTTAAGCAAATAAATTCCGTTTTGACTTAAAGTTTCGGGCGGACACACAATTTGCATTCAATTTATTAGCGCTTCGCATTTTTATCACCCACTGCATATGTGCACAAATATTTTGCATATCAATTCGGCATTCCATTTTCCGCGGCGACAATTTAAGCGTATCCAAAGAGCCAAAGTGACAAATTCAATTTGTGCGCAGCAAAACAATAAACAGAACAAAATGGGAGAAATAATGTGCAACAAGCTGCAAATAAAGTCAAAACGAAATATTAAGCATCCGCCATGTTGTCTCGACAGCAACGACGGAAAATATTTGAAAATATGCCAACTAAAAAAAAGTAAAGCAGAAAAAAAATTACTTTTAAATTCAAATCAACAGGGAATTTGATGTGGACGAGCGGCAGTCGAAGGGGAGGAGTGGGGTGGCTGGAAAATGCCCAGCTGAGAGCCGGGAAATTGGGGATATTGGATTGAGTTTGAAGTTGGCAATAAAGTTGAAATAGAATTTTTCAGAGCTTCCTCAGGGAATTTCAGGCTCAAACATTTCGTGTGTATTAAATATCAGGCTTTTGAATATGAAATTTTATTTTTTATGGCATTTTTTCGTTATTAGTTTAGGCGTTGCTGTTTATTAAAAATTCAAGAGTATGTTCACACCTTCTTAAAAGGCTTTTTGGGCATCATAATAATTTATTTATTTTTCCATTATATTATATTTTTAAGCTCTGAAAAGTACATTTAAATTTTCTTTAAATTCCGTATTAATCAAAAGATGCTGGTATTGCCTTTTCTTACAAATTTGTCCACATTCCCATAAATTTAGTAACATGATTTTGTTGGCACTGCTTAAACAGGCAGCTGCAACTTCTTTAATCCTGTTCCTATTTTCACATAATTTTCAGTCAATTCCTGGGATTATCTAGCCTCGCCCTTCGTCCTGCGACCTTCTAGGGTATCCTGCCGTTCGTGGGTCGACGCCGAACCCATGTTTTATGCGTACACTCGAATGGAGGGCTCTGGCAAACAAACTTTTTATTTTGCTGCGACCTACTTAAAGGTTCCGCCCACCGCCCATGCCGCCCCTTTTGGATGCCGACTGCGAGTCGTCTGGGTTCACCACATGAGGTCATGGAAATGCTTTCCGTTTGTTGTTTTTTTTTATGCGCTGCTGTAAAGTAAAGTAGCAAATTTGTATTTTATTGTTTGTCGCCAACAAGAAAGTGTGCACAACGAAAAAAGGAACGCAAAAATCTGTGTCTGCAACGCTGCGAATGAGTGATATGCCCTCACCCGCGAATGGAATTTTTCCACCTAAATGCTCAAAGGAAAATTCGATGGTAAACGCAACGCTGTAGGGAAATTCCCAGACATTTTCCCTGCCATCTGCAATAGCAGCTGCGAAAGCAATTTTCCATCATCACCATCAATAACTTCATCATTGGCATGTTGTTTTACCATACCATTTCGATCCGATCCGGAACCGCTTCAAAAGTTTCGGGGGAGAAATGGCCACAAAAACTGCGAAACTTGCTAAACAAATTTAAGCAAATAAAACAGCAGTGAGCTCTGTTGTTTTGCGTGTTTTGTGTTGTGTTTTTATTTTTCACTAAGCCGCAAAGTTTTTTTGAGTACTTCCTATAGCAAATTCTTTTTTCGAGCCTATTTTTGAGGGGGGGAGGGGGGTTGGGGGGGAAACACCCCTGGCAAAAACCAAAAACTGATTTCGCAGTGCAGCCAAAGGCGGCTAAAAGTTGGTCGCCGCGTTTTGTGTTTTTGGCCAATGTTTTCCGTAGGTCGCGACCACTTTTCCACGACCCGCTCCCCTCTAACCCCACCCAGTCCGCTTCCGGGCAGGACCTCCTCCTCCTGCTTCTGATCCTGCCCCTCCACTTCTTCCCAAAAAACACACACACTCACACACACATCTGCCACAAGTGTTTCGGCGAAATATTCGTGAGGCGCCTGCAGCGATTCGTGTGCATTTGGCAAAGCACTTAAAATGACAAAAATAACAGCAAAATACTAGACAAGCAAGGCAAACAAAAGGAGCGAACAAGCGGAGGATCCTGCCAAACATTTGGATGTGCACTAGACGTTCCTGCAATCCATTTCAATGCGGTATCTGGTTTGGGTGTTTCGCTTGTCAGCTCTTTGAAGTTGCAGGTTGCGCTAATGGTTCTTATGCAGCCAGTTAAAGCAATTAAAGCTACTATTAAGCTGAGTTAAATGTGGTTAGTTTGTAGTTAGATTCGATTTAGTTTACATCTGAGTTTTAACTTGTGCTAGCAACTTAAAAGCGTATATAAAAATACAAGTTTGGTGATGGAAAATGGAGGATAATGATTTTGCTGATATAAAATAAAATAAATACAGTTGAATGTTTGCCTTCCAAAATTTTGGGTTATTTATTGTAATAGGAAAAAACAGGTTTACAAAAAAGTTTTTTTTTTATTTAACATATATTTTATTTTTACTAATCAGCCAATTAAATGGCTATAAAACGTAGGGAATAGGACTCCCAGACAAAATAGTAACTTTAGCTAACATTATCATAAATCTACGATCATGTTAATTGTCTTTTATGATTACTGTATGAACTATTCATTAAACACAAGATCTATATATTTAAAAATATTATAAGATAAAAGAATCTCCCCAGATGAACCCTTTCCAGAACACCATTCGTGTCCCCCTGTTGACAGAATGTTCTATTTAAAGAGTCGAGTGCCGAGCCAAACAAAAAATGTCGCCTAATGTCAAGTCTGGTAGCTGCGGGGTGCGAGGGTCGGGGAGCGGGGAGGCTGGGGGAAAACAAGAAAATAAATTGAAATGGCAGGCAATTGAAAACTACCCATGGGTTTGTCAGGCTCTGTCTGGCTTAGCGCCGCCTGAGCATATACAATTTTCGGATATGAATATACAAAACTGGGGGCGACAGCCGGCGAACGGAGACTGTTCTTTAAGACGAGTTGGACTGGGTTCAATAAACGCTTCCTCGGATTCATCTGCTGCCAGCGGAGAAATCTGATTATTTATGAAGTGACTCAGCCGGGTGCTCCATGCTCGGCAGTCCCAACGGAGTGGCAAGTGTCTATAAAAATAGCAAAACACCAGACGAATTATAATGAGTCCGGAGTTCCGAGTGCCGCGTCCGGGACTCAGCTCACGTTCCGAAGGGCTCACGTGGTAGGTGGCAGGACCTCGAATCCTGGCCGCTCATTGTCATCGTTAACACTCGTGTAATGTCGGTCATAAAGACCCGCATCCCGATCCTTTGCCCCCTGCAATTAAAGGCGTGTTCATGGGAGGCGGACGGGATTTACATAATGCCGAACAATATGGCCGAGGATGGCAACTATTTTTACATGCCCATAATTTGATGACGACAATGTCTTGGCATAACAATGAGATGCGGCACAGGGCCTCATGTAAATTTCATTTTGCTGACTTTAAGAATCCCCCGGCTCAGCAGTGCTTTTCACAAGCCCACACACACACACGTGTTTTGAAAAACCCCCCTCCCCCTTTTCACTGCCCAGATTTCGTTTTTCTTTTCTTTTTTTTATTTCGGCTTTTCCTTTATTTTCCTCTTGCCAGAGAGCGGATTTGTTTCGTGTGTGAAATCGAGCGTGAATGTTCAACGTAAATAAAATTCAATTTGGCATTTTCCTTTTAACTCAATTTATGTGTCAAGTGAAAGTGGATTTGACTCGGACAAACATTGTGTGGCCATTCGACATGTCCCGTATCAAAGTTATAAATGAATTTATAGCCAGCCCTCTATACCGCTCAAAATTAATAGCATTTGTGCCGCCGGATTGATTAAATTAACCCAACCAACAATAATATTTCAAGCAAAGGGTTCGACCCGTATTGCTACTAAAAAAACAGGCCCATTGAAATGTCATTTAATTGATGCAATTTGACGGTAACAATTTACCAAAAAAAAAAGAGTCGATTAACTCGCCACTCAGGTGAACATGTTTAATGCATTTATTCGGGGCACCAGGTGAGAAGATTAAATCCTGTTTATAACTTGTGCTTGCGTTTGAACTGTTTTTCATGCAGTTTAACAGATGAACGCACAAATGCGTATTGTGTGTCAATTATGTGCACAAGCCGGCCAGTTTATTAAATGACATTTAATTGAGGCAATGTCACGGCTTAAATTTACTAGTGCTGCCAGCAGACATTCTACAGATCAGGCAAAAAAAGGTTAAAAAGCGATGTGAGATATAGAAAATAAACAAGGCAATATTGTGATTTTTAATTACAAATTTTAATGGCTTTATCCATTTTGTCATAACTTTTATTGGGATTTTTGACTTTGTTAAGTTCAGAAGTTAATCTA